TTGGTGACCCCGAACTGAAGCTTCACGGAGTGGTGTATCGCCATTTTTACTTTGTATATTGACCTCGGCTCCATGCCTGAGTAATGTTTCGACAATCTGTTGGTGACCCTGAAGTGAAGCTTCATGGAGTGGTGTTTCGCCAAACTCATTTTGTATATTCACGTTAGCTCCATGGCTGAGTAATGTTTCGACAATCTGTTGATATCCTTTACCTGCTGCATTCTCCAGTGCCGTGCCATATATTCCACCTGGAGCATTGATATCTGCTTTACGGTGAAGGAGTATCTCAAAGATCCCTCGGTGTCCATTACTTGCTGCTGCATGGAGTGCTGTACCATACTTTTTACCTGAGGCATTGATATCAGCACCACGGTGAAGAAGCATCTCAAAGATCCCTTGGTGTCCATACGCTGCTGCTGCATGGAGTGCTGTACCATACTTTTTACCTGAGTCATTGATATCAGCTCCATGCTTGAGCAAGGTTTCAATAATCTTCTCGTATCCGCCGCCTGCCGCTGCTGCGAGTGCTGTATTGCCCTCTTCATCTTGGGTATTAACATCAGCTCCATGCTTGAGCAAGGTCTCAATGATCTTCTCGTATCCGCCGCCTGCCGCTGCTGCGAGTGCTGTCCCACATTCTCGAGATTGTTCGTTTGGGTTGGCTCCATGACTAAGTAATAGCTGAACGACGCGTTGGTAGCCATTTAATGATGCACACACAAGCGCTGTGCTGTAGTTGGCGCCCCCACCACTAGGATCGGCTCCGTTCTCTAGTAACATTTTAACTATTTCTTCGTGGCCCCGGTCTGCAGCTAGCTGTAATGGCTTATCTCGCCCCTTATTGATGTCGGCACCACCCTCTAACAGTAATCGAGCAAAGCTCTTCAACCCAAGATAGGCTGCAAATCCCAGATACGTCCAATCTGACCAGCCATAATGGTAGTATAGGAAACCTTGAGAAACAAATGTCCAAGTCTGTATATAACGGGCGGATGGATCACAGAGAATGCGCACGCGATATAAGTCTGCCTCGAGAGGGATATCTCCACAGTGAATGAAGTGAGAAGGCCAATAATTTCCTGAATAAGACAGGAAGTGGTATGATTCGTCGTTGATATAACTCAATCGGCCGTATTCATTGATAGGTCCGCCAATGTCAGGAATCAACAAGTAATCGAGACATACTTGTAACATTATGCTATGAGACTGTTGGGCGCTGAATCTCCCTTCCCAGTATACATCCTCCCCTTCCCCTTTCGCCTTTTCTCGCTTCCTTGTAAGAAACTCTCTGGCCGTCAGGTGGATGAAGGAAAGCTCTGAGTCGTGAACACTAATGAAAAGACCGCAATATTCTTTCACGACGTCTTCAAATGCTTCCGGTGACCACAGTTCATCCATAAGAGTTGTGTGTGAATCCATTCTTTGTTCTCGAAGACCAAGTGTCAATGCAACATTGGCTTCAATGAGAGTCAGAGGCCTTTCAGCAGCGAGCACAAGCTGAAGAAGATTATTTGTTCGTGGATCATTCTTTTTCCCACTTAACATTTTTTCATAGGCTTCAGAGACGTTCTTGGGTAAATGAGAAAGTAGCCTATCCACGTCTGCAGGTTTGGCAAACTTGGTAGGCTCTGCCTTGATATAATCAAGTGTTAGATAAAGCCATAGGTAAGTGCGATTCTCCATGCTCTTAAGACGTGATTTAATCTTTTCAGCATTGCGGATTCTATCACTGAACTTTCTGGTCAAAAGTTCGACTTCAGCATCGATAACAAGGTCTATTTCTTCACGGATCTGCTCATGCTTTTCGTCACCATCAAGACGCACATAGGCTGCATTCTTTGGGAAATTTTCGAAGGAGTATTCCAAATGGGAAATTGGACGACTTGTGACAAGAAACTTGAGCTTCGATTTTGACCGCAACTCTTCGTCGGAATAGAACTCTTTCAGCTTTTCCAGGATCCAACCTCTACTACCCTTATCACATTCATCCAGAGCATCTAAAACACAGATGATTTCACGGGCATCTGAGCCTATGGCAGAATCTACCAGGATTTGCCAGAGATCGGAGAACTTGGAGGTCAGGGTAGTCCCATTTGCTTTGTGAAACGGAAGGGCATGCATGATTGCGTTTGAGGTGGAAGGAAATGTGAAGAGTTGATGCAGGAGTGCACATAGGGCATGGGAACCATCCATCTTTCCTTCTCCACCTTCCTTGAAGAAGAAGTAAGTCACAACAGGCTTTGGGTTATGAATGACTGAATCTGATGTGATGGTGATGGTGGTATGCGAGTCCAGATGTCCTTCATCAAGTAGTGACTTTGACAGCACTGACTTTCCACATCCAGGGTTCGCAGAAACCCAGAGTAGATCTGATGAGCTAATACTGTTCCATTTGGTAAATCGTTCATCCTTCAAGAACCACTCACAGGTCCCAGAAACTCTCGTAGGGTTGCTATCCTTGTATCGCTTGTAATCGCCCGCGACTTTGGCAAAATCTTCCAGTAGCCTTCTTTCCTGGTCTTCTCTTCGATGCTCCACCATATGTTGAAGAATCCTTTCGCTGAAGTCACGTGTTTGGCGTAGCGCTTGGAGTTGCTCTTCCCTAGATTTCCGAATTTCAGAACATTCTCCGACAGGGATGAAGCGATCGCGGCAGAATTGATCCAGTTTGTTGATATTTTCCATAGGGCCAGACCAAAGGCTAGTCCCTTGTATATCCTTCCATGCGCGGGATCGTTGGGGACTGGCCAAATGATCTAAGACTTGAGCCTGATACTCAATCATATATGAGTAGAGCTTGGCCAGGGGCTCAACTAGAGCCTCGTAGTCCTGTCGATGTTCGAGGTCAAGATACTTCTGCTCACAAATTTGCCAATACATTTGTAGGTCAAGAATGGTGTTGAAGCCTTCAAGCATGTCTTCATTTTGTGACATGCCACTTGTTAAAAGCTTTCGGGGTCAGTCATGGCTTGCAACTAGGTGAGGGTAACTTACTTGCATAATCAAGGATACGCCGGACCATGCAAGTGCGGCATATGGCTGAGCCTTGACGGCAGTTGCCACGAAATCATCGGACCAAAGGACAAATTTCACTAGTTTCTCGAACTGTGTTCGTATTTTGATTTCTTTGTCATTAATTGTAATCTTCCATTGCCTCCTCTCTCGGTCCTTCACAAGCTTGTTTACTGCGGCTTCGACGGAACTGGGGCTGAGGCTGTCTGCGCTGATATCACTAGTGTTTCCCTGGAAAGAGCCTACATGGTTTTTGTAGATTGTCACAAGATCTTGATCATGGTTTCTCTCCTGGAATATTTCGAACGCTCGAGTCCAGGGATCTACCCAGCCCTGTTGATTGAGATTTGTTTCCATCGATGGCGGCTCAGTTGTTGTTTTTCCTGGTACAATAAAAGAGGATGGCGATTTAGGAAGTGCAGGTTTGGTATTCACCGTTGCAACCCGAGGCGCACTGTTCGGCCTGTCAATTTCACATGTTCTCTCATTGGCTGCATGCTTGTTCTTTCTGGAGCCTCCAAAAAAGCGCTTCAAATGTGGTAGGAGGGGCGCCATTTTGCTACCACCGTGACAGGCTACAGGCGCAAGAAATGTTTTGGAGAGTATTTCGCGGGGCAGTGGCAAGCTTATAATTACTAGTATTTATTGATACTAGTAATTTCCTTACCGCCGGGCATCTTCCCAGTGGAGCGATGACCCCTGTCGCACAGCCGTATTCGTGGCTTGTCTTGCATTAGGGCCACAGGAAACATGCTGCGCCCCTTCATCGATGGAATATGATTCATGCACACCCATTGGTCTACTTGTCTTTTGCTGGCGTATCATCATTCTTTCTCTCAGCCTCCCTGTGATGCTGGCGGGTTTGTATAGTATTGTTGATAGGCTGGTATGATAATCGTCTTCTGCTGAGCTGTTCCTTAGTCGCGTATATGCTAACCAGCTGTTTAGAGCGGTACGGGTTCCCCGCTGGACCCTGCCTCAACTCGCCCTAATTTTTGGGTACAGAGCACCATGGGGACACAGTTCCGCGTGGTTAGAAAAAGGTCGGCATGATTAGAGATTTGTTGGCAATTTTCTTCTAACCACGCTTAGTTGCGTCTCTCTCTCGATGATCTCACCGTGGCTTGGCAGCTTAACGTGGTGAATAGTGGACTTATTCTATTATTGCCACGACCTCCACACTCTCTACTACCCAATTATCCACCCTACAGTGCTAGTGTTTTATGAGAAAAAAGCGCCCGCGAAGTGACGGGCAAGATATGTGGAAGTAAAGTCTTTATTGAACTGGCAATAATATAGATGTGACCCTAATCATGGTTAGACCACACATGCCGATAGTACTTCTTCCCAGACCACGCCGACATCTTTTCTGAGGACGCCGCACGGCAAGCCTTCTTGGACACAGCAGCGGTGGGATACATACATCTGTGTCATCTCCATATGGAGAATTATAGCAGTAGGGGTATTTTTAATCTGTCCATATCAACAATGTCTGCTATATGGTGTTTCTATGTTTCTACCAAGCTGTGACAAATTAGAATACCGAGAGCGTAAGAACTCCGGACGATAAATCAAATACAAAAGGTAATCTTTTTTATAAGGCCCCCAGACAATCTCTCTCTTAAGGGGCCCTTATTTAAGCAGTTACCTCGCTCCACAGCATTCGACAGGACATCGCGTGCGTGTCGGGCTCATGAAGAAATGTGGCCAGCATCTGGGCGAATTCTTCTTCACGGCGGATACACATGCGAGAAATAGCTTCTGACACAGAATCAAGACACCAACCTTCGAAGCTATTCCCAGCTGCGGGTGACGCTAGAAGAAATAACACCCACAGCCTGAATTCAGGCGTAAGCCACGCGCATGCTGCATCATCGTCCAATAAACTTCTAAGATGAGCAACAAGCATATCACATGTTGATACACCTGCGGGAGCTCATTGCAAATGGTTACTGTAAATAGCAAGAGAGAAAGTCGGCATATCTCCAGGCTTGCAGCCGAGGGATACTTAAGTTCCTATACCTAACTGATAGGAGGCGGTATTGGGTTGAAGTAATACAGAAACGGGCCTGTGCTGCTTCGGCCTGGTGGTCTTTATTATTTATCATGGGGAGGGTCTTTGTGACATTGTGTAGATTGCAGATTGCCTCTTTGAGCAGTTTGTCGAGGTTCAAGAGTCGATCGAGTTCCTGGAATCCGTGGCTGAGGTGGTATGTCTGAGATCCTGACCCGCAGATATTCGGGTAGCGTGCACCAAAGTAAGGGCTTTGGGTGGCATCTATCGAGCCGCATAGGTCGGCACTGAAAACAAAAATGTTAGTGGTAATTTAAATAGTAGATCATATCGAAACTTGCCGATAGATCTTGCTCTGGATAAGCGGCTTGTGGTTTAGGCTGTCTAAACCGCCTCGTAAATCAACAAGGGTTTTTAAGCCTTGCATATGAACATTCCATTCGTCGTGGAACCCTAGCATCTTCTACTGGAAAATTAGTGATATTTAAGCGTCTCGGACTTGTAATTTCTTGAAACACACCTTCATCATAGCGATACTAGCAACGACAACCAAGGTTTCATCGGCGGCCGAATCCGTCAAATTTGCCATCCTCTGATTGACGATGGCTATAGCTTCATTTAAGTGTCTGGCAAATAAGGGATACCCGCGAGGCCAGTTAGTTGTCATCACAAACGATGCAGCACATCCCATAAGACCATGCAGCAGAGCTGGATCATTAAATGCCAACGGTAACCAATAGTTGACCATTGGGTTGCATCCACTCCTCTTCTCGATTGAGTAGAGCGTCTCCCAAATGGTAGTAATATCTTCAGTCAGAGTCAGCCACTACAGAATTTTGGGGAGTCTAAGAACCGGACATCCTACACAAGGAAAGTAGATCATGCATATATGGCTCAAACTCAATCGATAGCATGTTGAAAGGATCCACGCGGCCAAATTGCGGGGGTATCACTTCCGAGGAAAGAACTCTCTTAGTCCGTATGCTTTGTTTTTCATCTTCAATAGAGACCCCTTTGCGCTTCTGGTCATGGTGTGTGTGGTGGAACATCACCCTTTTTCTGATAGTTTTACGTGTATCACAATCAATGCCAGTCGAGTTACTTCCCAGATTGATGAATTCAAATAGTTCATGGCCTTTCCGTTTCAGGCTATCAGAATTGGTATCGGCCCGTTTTCTCTTAGTTGCTGGTCATGTCAGTCAGCATCTAATATCCGAGATATAATGCAGAAGACCAGTTGCTTACATCCTGTCGGTCGTCCCCTCTTGCGGGGAGCGGGGACCTTGACCGAGCGTTGGCCATAGCGAAATACAACACCTGATTCAGTCGGTGATGATGTTATCGCGAACACTACTTCACTAGGTTCATTATCCATTTTGAGAAACAAGGGTGTGTGGTCCAGTGAGTATGCTAATAGAAAGATGGACGATGGGAAAGATACTGGTTAGGGTCGGAGCTGTCACGCTGTAACTCCGGTCAGTCTAACCCGATTCAGTTGCAGGTCGAGCAATAATTCGACCCAAAATGGTAATAGATCTACAATATGTCATTTTCATACACATAATCGACGCAACTTGTGAAAAGACAACAAGTCATGATTCGGACAGTCATAAAAATTAGAACGTATTTACGATAACTCCGACCTAATATGACCGTTACTGTTGACCATGTAATGAAGGATTGTGGGCTATAAAAAGACATCCTTGTCCCTTGATGTGGACTTTTCTCCTACTGTTATATCAACCTGACAAAACCTTCAATAAACAACCATGTCTCAATATAATGCCCAAACCACAGCGGAGGAGGTGGCAACTGATTGCTGTGCTGCCATTTCCAACAAAACTCTCCTAGTGACTGGGGTCACTCCTGGTAGTCTTGGTGCTGGTTTCGCGACAGCGGTTGCAAACTACGCGCCGTCCCTTATCATTCTCGCCGCGCGTGATGTAACAAAAGCTCAGCAAACAGCTACAGATATCTTAGCCATCAATCCATCCGTGAAGACCCGTATCCTGCACCTAGATCTAGGCTCCCAGACCCAGATCCGACAAGCAGCAGCAGAGGTTCTCGACTACGAGGAACATATAGATGTACTGGTTAATAACGCAGGGATAATGGCGTCACCTTTTTCCCAGACTGAGGACGGCGTGGAGAGCCAATTCGGAATTAATCATATTGGCCATTTTCTCTTCACGAACCTGATCATGAGCAAGCTGATCGCACCGGGCAAATCCTCGCGTGTTGTCAATATTTCCAGTGACGGCCACCGGCTAGGGCCTGTTCGGTTTGATGACTGGAACTTCGATGTAAGTTGGCTGTCCTGGTATGGAATATCTGAAGACAGAGACTAACTGAGCACAACAGGACGGTGATACGTATGATCCTTGGCTAGCTTACGGCCAATCAAAAACGGCGAATATGCTATTTTCTGTGTCGCTTGCGCAGAAGCTTGGGGGAAATGGCCTTATTTCTGTTAGCTTACACCCTGGTGTTGTGGGTACACAAATTCTGAGGCATGATGTTGATGAATCGGTTAAGGCACTCGGTGAGAATTAACCACTTCTGGTCCGAGCCTACTACCATCATGTTTAATTAACATCGACTTAGTCAAATGGGATCGTATCCAAGGCAATCGTCAGTGCTGGGATGGGTTCAAGTGGAAATCTATGTCACAGGGCTTAGCAACACACACGGTTGCCTGCTTTCACAATTTAGTCTTAGGTTAGTTGCCATAGGTGGGTTTGGCTTTCATTATACTAACTGGGTTTCAGAATATAATGGCGGTTATCTTGAGAACTGCCGAGTTTTGAAGCCAGCCGAAATTCGCTGTTGGGGTCGAGATGATCTAGAGGCGGAAAGACTATGGAAGTTGAGTGAGGAGATTGTTGGACAGAAGTTCGACTACTAGCCTTGGTACAGTTATACAATTTTGCATTGGAGTTATATGTCTTCCGAGTAAATGAGACTGCCCTATATTATAATTATATCACGCAAGGTTCCGCACAGATGACTTGCTATATTTAACAGAGAGATACAAAGTAATCACATGCGAATGGCAGGTTGTTAATGCCTAAGATACCTAAGACAAGTACCCTTGAATACAGCTTGCCAATCTTCTAAGGCATCTGAGACTATTCAGAATCCATGTCTCACATGTGCTGTTAATCGAAGCACGCCAAGATCACATTACGGAGGAGAAATTCTTGGTGGGGAATGTCTGGCCAATGCCGCTGGGCAGGACTCTGACGCCGACGTCTCGTACGAAATAGATCGTAACTAATGCAAGGGGCTCTTGCCAGGGGTGGCCAAGAATCCAGAGTTGCTCCTGCCGAGATATTATCAGCCGATGTAGGTATTAGCTGACACTATCTACTATGAACTCATCTAAATTACCCATCATGGCTAGACCGAGAAGTGGTCTCACCCACTATTCACCATAGAGACACCCACTCATGTATCGACGACGGAGAGTCCACACTCCAGAAGTTTAGTGCTGGGTGGGTGGTCATCAGTAATCCCTGCAGTTGTATTTTTTAGTTTTTTTATTGTATTTTTCCCCTGAGAATTGAATTGCATATCGGGTAAATTGGGGCAGCTTGGTTGTGATTATTCTCAAATGAAAACTAGAGGATAGTTCAGTATATCTGATGTTATAACATGTCCTCGTCTCTCTTACATTCATCAGCGTCATAGTTCCCCATACCGTTGACATCTTCCATGCTAGAGCCCTCTAGGACACGGTCTGAGCCATTGTCACCACAAGCCCAAGGATGTTTGCTCTGGATATCTGATTCATTCCCCTGATCCTCTTCCTCTGGCCCCTTATCACCTTGATCTGTACCATCATCCTCAAGAAACGAACCTTCTTCACCTAAAAACTCTGTGTCCCCTTCATCGCCATATCTGGTGGATGTATGGTCGGGATGGCCCATATCTCTAGACCGATAGCATTTGAAGCATCGAAGATGACCAACACAGTCATCGCACACATAATATGATCCGATTTGATCCTGTAGTGAATTAAAGCATAGTTGGCAGTGTAAATAAGACCTAGAAGGGGAGAAGCTATTAGCCAGTAAGCACATACCGCAAAAGTTCTCGTCGAATATCTGTGCCTCTTTCCAATCATGCACAGTTGAGCCTTTCCACCAAAGGCGCTCTCTGGAGCTTTTGACCTTTTTTATTTCGTCATCGGTTGGGGTGACCAGTTGGAGCATCGCCCTCAAGTCCGCCGTCAGCACAGATCATGATCTCAGCACCATTCTCCTTCAATTCCTCGATTATGTCAGTGCGTTGGGAGAACCTAATATCCCATATTTGGGCTTCTCGAAGTGCACAGAAAAGTGGTGTCCAGCCATCGCAGTCCAGCTCGTTAATGAAACCTTTGAACTTTTGCATAACATATCGTACCAGGTCAAGCCTACCACTCACAACGGCAAAATGCAGGGCATTTCTCTGCAACCCGCCCTCGGCCTGGAGATCAGCTCCGTGGTCTTCTAGGTACTTGACATGGTCTAATGTTCGATACAATGCAAAGTGAATAGGTCTCCAACCAAATCTGTCCGCCGTCTGAACATTAGCACCGTTCCAGTCATGAAAAGCGGTAGAACCTTTCCACTTGACCAGGAGCAGAAAGATACTCTCGCCTCGCCAGCCCCTTACTTCACTTCAACAACCGGCCATGGAAGCCGGATGGCATACATGATTGGTAGGATGTGCCCCAGGGTGAAATCTACGTCTGCAAAATGGGTATACTGTACAAAAATAACAGGGAGCTAGTTTTACCGCTAGAAATGCAGCCAATGTCAGCCGCCCTTCGCCCTTCACAGCCTAAGATCTACTTATTAGATTCAACAGGCCGTTACCCACGCTGTAAAACAAAATGTCAACATCATTTCCATGTCTTGGACGATTGAGCGGGATAGCAATAACAGCGGCGACATAGACAAGCTCAAGAAGGCATTGAAGATAGCATCTGACAAAGGCATCCTTTTGTTCTGCTCTACTCCTGACAAAGACCAGGACAACCAGTCAGACACGCATTTCCCTATCCAATGTGACCATTCCATCAAAAAGTTCAGGGCTGGAGCAGCAACACAAGATGGATCTCTTTGGAAAAAGGCCAGTAACCCAGCCGACTTTATCTTACCGGGCGGTAACATCGGGATTAGAAAAGGCGATCCGGATCTCCGAGGATCGAATGTTCTGAAACCCGGATCCTCAATAGCCACGGCCTTGGCCGCTGGGCTAGCGGCCCTTATAATTTACTGTGTTAGACTGGGTGCTCTTTACCATCAGCACCATTAGGCTGATCTGATAGGAAGGGTGACGGTGCGCGAGTTTCAAAGGATTCAAGAGCATGAGTACATGAAGGAAGCGTTTGAACATATTGGAAGGAGCGGCGGCAAATCTGATGGAAATTACGTCAGAATTGGCGTCGAATCGTTTTTCAAGAAGCTTTCTCAGAACTTCACTGAGCCATCCGAAGATTGAGAGTCATTGTGGAAGCGAATCGCAGAGATGGCTCGGCAGCTCGTTATCGAGAATTGAAGCATTACTCATTATAAACTTCAGAATGCCACGATTCAAGCCTATAAGTGAGGAATTCCTTTCTCTTGTATCATTCGAGAAGATGTTGAAAGGGAGTATCCCCGGAGTCGAGCAATATGCACCTCTTTATGTATGTTTACACATATTCTTCTGCGGCAGCGTATTCCCCCATTATTAGTAAATGTCTTGGTAATTAGGTCTCAACGAAGTTTTCTTCACCGTCAACCCAGTATGTGATTATAGCGAACCAAATCACGCAGATTCTCCAGCCGTAGCGGCATCTTTCTTGTATGCTTAAGGTTCCTACATCCACGAACGATGAGGAAGAAAGGGAAACAGAATGAGGTCGGGTAAATGACCCCTGTCCAATCCGGCAGTCACCGGCAAAACCCTAAGCGGTGATAGCGCCGATTGGTGCCTTTTTACCGGGAAGGTGGGGATGATCCCATTTGAGCAGATTTCGATTAGATTAACTTCCGGCATGGCGCCAAGCGGTCGGGCCAATGTGTAACAGAATAGTATTCGGTTTCGTCAGGCCAAGATCCGAAAGCGATTCGCCTTCATACGAGTCATTTGCTTTGGGCGCTCCTAGGAATCGATGAATCCCAATTAATCATACAGCTATAAACTTGACACAGGCCAAGTGACCCACTGTCTCATTCCCAGACAACTGCAAATCAAATAGCTCTGGCCACTGCGTTCTTGGCATTGCACTTGAGCACATTTTCTCCTTGGCAACCCACTTTTTAACGTATGTGTCTTAACGACTTTTCGCGACAGTGGGTACACTTTAATATGGACATCCCCCGCAGCCATCCAGCATGTTCTCTTTCCTCCTCTCCAGAGTCCAGCAACGTTCGTCCCATCTCTCGAGTATTGACGACTCGAGATGCTCTCCCCGCGCCATGCTCACGATATTCCGGATAGTGGTCCCGGCGTTGAACACCACTGGGGATACTATAATCGCCAACTCCCCTGTACCAGTGGTGCGGGAAAGTGTGCATATCTAGATACGGTCTATCACAGTCATGATTTGTCGATCCTCTATAGTGCTATTCTCTGGGCGGTCATTCTTGGGATTGTATTCCTTTGCTTCATTGGCCACTACTGCAATCCTATCACACGGAAGTCCACATCTTCATGCGTTCAGAAAGAGGGGGAACACGAACATCGATCACAGAGCTCCATGTATCGCATGAGAAGATCACTGGGTTCGATATACCACCGCTATTTTGTCCAGGAATCTCTAACCGCTCTATTCGGCCCCACCACTCGGTTTAATATCCTCATCCTCGCCATTCTAGCCGGCTATCTCATCATCTTCAGCTTTGTCGGGATCGTTTACAAAACATGGTACATCCCTGTCAAGGGAACGAACTTGCGCTCGTCTCCCACGGGAATTGGCCCGTGGGCTGATCGGCTTGGAGTTCTCGCATACGCCTTAACGCCCCTCGCTGTGCTCCTGTGCACCAGGGAATCCCTCCTTTCCCTCTGTACCGGAATACCCTATCATCACTTCAACTTTCTTCATCGCTGGCTCGGCTGGATTATCTACATTCAATCTGCGCTTCACACCTTCGGCTGGACCCTCATGGAGGGGAAGCTGTACCAGCCGCAACCCTCAACATGGAATGCTTTTATCGCTCAGGAGTACATGATCTGGGGCATCGTCGCCATGATATTCCTGTCATTCCTGGTCTTCTTCAGCACCAAATGGGCCATCCGTCTCACGGGGTACGAGTTCTTCCGCAAGGCGCATTACGTCGTAGCCATGCTATACGTGGGTGCTTGCTGGGGACACTGGGAGCAGCTTTCATGCTGGATGATCGCGTCATTGGTCGTGTGGCTACTCGACCGGGCCATTCGGCTGTTGCGGACTTTCTTCACGCACTTCGGCCCGCACGCTTCAGAAACGGTCTCCTTCTGGGGTCTGCACATCCCCAAAGCTCGCATCACCTCCTTTCCCAACGACGAAGACGGAGACGTCATCCGCCTGGATTTCGACCACGACCACAGCCCTTGGGAAATCGGCCAGCATTTCTACCTGTGCTTCCCCGGGCTTAGTATCTGGCAATCGCACCCCATGACGCCATCCTCTGTGCCTGGCGGCTCCAAGCAATCGCACACGTACATCATCCGCGCGAAGAAGGGTTTAACCAAGGACCTGGCTCGCATAGCCCGTCAGCCCCAGGGACGAAACTGGGAGGAATCACCAAGCACATCCATCGTTCTTTCCGGACCATACGGCCAATCCATCGTCGACAACGACCTCCACTGCTCAGACGACATCAACCTCTTCTGTGTTGCCGGCGGCACGGGCGTGACATTCATTCTCCCCATCCTGCAAGCTATAGTACTGAATCGATTCTTCTCCACCCGGAGAAGCTTAGTCGAGCTTGTGTGGATCGTCCGCCGCAAGTCAGACATGCGATGGCTCAGCGAAGAATTGGAAGTGCTCCGTACCGCCGCGCAAGCATGCACCCATTTCCGGATCCGAGTGTACGTTACGCGCGAAGACGACCGGGCCAATGTTCGAAACTCCTTCACGCCAGCATATATCACCGACTCCGAGATCAAGAGACCTCTGTCTACTGTTTCTCACGATGCTCCTTTGTCAGAGAACCCGTTCTCGGTGCATTGCCTGCGCCCCGGGAATTCCGGTACCTCGGTACACCCTGATGTGCCGACGGACCTGACTGATTTCGTTCAGCGCACTGTTCAGGGTCCAACGCGTGTCATTGCTAGCGGGCCGACGGGGTTGATCTCCTCGCTTCGCACGACCGTGGCGTCGCTCAATGATCCAGGTCGGGTGTGGAAGGGTCATGAGAGATACGATGTGGAGCTGGTTCATGATGATCGCTTGGAGTACTGATCTTGTTTTTGTCCACTCTTTGCATAGCGCTTTTCGGTTCTTGTTAGCATTTTGCTGTATATATTTACCTTGCATTATGTCACCTTCGTGCCGGCCATGAACGAGTGGCTTGTCGATTTGTTTTTGTATATATACCCACACGCAAAACATACTTCAATTTGACTCATTCCATGAACACTTTAAATAGGCTGCAAGTACACAATATTAAAACCGAATAGATTCACCTAACTCCCACTATCTCCTCTTTTATCATCCATTTTTGCATCTGCCGCGCGACCCTTCTTGGCCTGCTGCTCCCTTCTCATATCCCCCACGACCATCGGCGGATCATTATTCGTCCGTCTATCAATCACGTTAACAGAACAATCAATACAACGGATGCTGAACATACGTAGTAGTCCATGAATTCTCATAATCACCGTATAAATCCCAGTTAAGCTCTTCTTTGTCTAGGAGCTTTTGAAGGTCCTCTGGGAGTGAGGAGCTACGGCGATGAGAGGGTCCTTTGGTGGATTGGTAGGATTGGTTGGACATTACGGATTCGATGACTCGATCTGGATGTGCGATATATAGGATGTCCTCGTTTAATGGAATAGTGATTCTTGTCAAGATAAATCGAGTATGTTATGGAGGTAGGCTTCGTTGTTATGGGCTAGGAAGTGGAGTACGAAACGTTTATTAGGAACCGGTATGTATGACTTCATCAGTCGAATGATAGGTAAACCTTGTCGCTTTGCCACAATTACATTGTTCTTTCGTGTCCGCCATTATAAGAGGTGGCTATATATGAGGGGTTTGGCTGGTGTGGTCTAGAACCAAGTCCTGTGATGTCACGGCCGAGTTATCTCCGAGTTAACATCATAGGGTTTATTATATCACTTGGGAATGACATCAAATATTGTATTCCATGTATATATCATGCAGGTAAACCGGATATGTCATTTGAGACCTTTCCACCAGTCCATCAATTGAATCTCACATTAAACCATCACCAACGCACCTCCAAGCAAAACCACGAGACTGACAGGCAAAAAAGTCGAAGAGAAGACAGGCCTACCTGCCCATAATCGCCGCCACAACATCCTCAAACCCATTCTTCCTCGCTTCCACAACAGCCGTGTCACTCCACTCGCCCCTGGCCTCAACATCCGCCCCCCTCTCCATCAAAAACCGCACAACGCCCACAAATCCCCTCCCCGAAGCCAAAACAAGCGGCGTCCCGAAAGGCCCCGCCAGATTCACATCCGCCCCGGAATCAACAAGCACCTTGACGGTATCCAGATGTCCCGCCAGTGAAGCAGCAGCCAGCGCGCTCCCGCTAGGTCCTCTACTATCCAGCGGAGCACCGGTGTCAAGGAGCATTGCAACAATGTTAGTTAGGCCAAATGATGCAGCGTAGTAGATTTGATGTGGGTGGCGGATAAGACTGGAACCATCGGTTCCCGAGAAGGGTGTGTACCCATCCAGGAAGGCTGTCCAGTTCAGGTATGCTGTGCCTGAGTTGAGAAATCGGAGGATTAGCGCCGTTAGTTCGGGGTCTGTTTCAGGGTGGGCTAGGCGGGCATGCACAGCCCAGTAGTTTGCCGCGTAGCTGAGTAGATACGAGGTTTTGATTTTGCTTGGGGTTGTGGTGTAGGACTCTGTGAATTGGAGCAGGTAGGTTAGACTGTCTTTCGCGATGGTGGTGTGGGATGTGGATTCTGTTATTGCGAGGTGTCTTTCTGGGGTGGTTTGGATCTCGGGGGATTGGAGGTATTGTTTTATCGAGGGGTCGGCGAAGTGGACTTGGTGTTGGTTGGGTTTGAATTCGTCCTGGGGGATCGGATTACTGGGAATTGGTGGCGTGGTTGCTATGAGGGTGTCCGGGCATATGGCGAGGATGGCGCGTGGGTCAGGAAGGCGTTTGTCAACGTCGGTGCCGGTTTCTGAGATGACGGCTAGTTCGGCGACTTCTTCGATGTAGAGGGTTCGGGTGGAATGTGCGAGCCATTGGAAGATTTTCGAGACGAGTTGGGGATGCTCGGTGGACGATACTTCCTCTGCGGAGGAGCCTTGTGCTTCTGACGGGCCTGGATCTTCTTCTGATAAGCCTGGAGTAATATATCGTACGGCATTGAACGACCAGGAACTGTTCGCTTTGCATCCATAGAATGAGCCTTACAGGTCAACGACCGAGCACACCGAGCACCATCCGGCAGAGTGACTGCGCACTGCTGCTCGATGTCGACGGGGCTGGATTGGGTGGACTTGGTGGTGGAGGACATTTTTGGCAAGGATATGATTACTCCTTCATAGATGCATGAGCTTAGGCAGCGGCTGAAGGTCGAGATATATATGTGGCGGGCACTATTGAGCAATAAAAGCCTTGTGGATCGTTTCAGCCTTGCATTGATCATCGCTGACCCCGCTGTGGCTTAGCATAGAGTCAGGCTGATATTGACCCACTCACGACACAGACGCCGTTACAGCATTTTCTCTAAGATGACAGGCTTCGAACAAGTGGTAACAGACATGAAGCATGCTCTAGTTATGCAGCTTAGGTAGCAACTGCATTAAAGTCAGCTAATATGTGTAGTTTACAATCCGCAGACGCCCTCCATGTCAAAGGCGGCATCTTCCTCACACTCACAGTATCCACATGAACAGCCCTCTTCACCATGACAGTCAGAGTAACCCTTTGGGATAAAAGAATCTGAAATGACCCCTTCTTCACACGATTAACCATATCCGACCCCCGAGATCTACGATGCACAACGGATGACTTGGCCCGTCCCGGATATCCGGAGTCACAACAACCGAGACCAAGGGTCTATATCTAGGCAATCGCTACAAATACCCTGGAATCTTCACAAATGCTCTCCTCTCAAGTATTCATCATGTCAATCGGCTCGGTCCGTTGACCGCCCCAACCTACCGATGGACGCCGTCAGTAAAGCAAAAGGAACTGGGGAGGGATGATTTGATTAAGCTCAACAACCGAGACACTGGTTACACAGAGCGCCTCCAGACGCGAGAGAATATTCGAGCATTGGAGGAACTGCCAGTCCTGAATCGCAAGTAATTGTGTCACTGAAGCTCCAGCTGAGAGGGGAGTGTCTCACTTGGGTTGAATAAGGTCACGGGCTGAGCATGACTGGAAGCTAAATGGAGCAGGCTGGGGAGGAATGCAATATCTGGAAATAGATAGGGCAGAGAGGACTTTTGATGATTATTTTTTCAAATGAGGTTGAAACAACCCCCTTCGTGGAAGTGGGGGCTTTTCCCAAGCCCCTCAACTTCGTTCCTTCCAGCCAGCTTAGGGTTGAGGTCACTAGGAAAGACGACGGAGTCATCTCACATATTGAGTAGACTACTAATACCAATACCTCCAAGTGGGAGGTGTTTTGTTGCCCCGGTTAGCAAAACAGGCTTGCTCAGTCGTTTGCAGCTATCTACTCATGAGTCTGGGTTCTACCTAGTTCTTACTGTACATAGCATCTACTATCTAGTAACTAATCTATCGATCTGAGTCGATCATTGACTTGACTTGAGTCCAGCTGTAATCCCATCTTGACCGTCAAGACTTAACAGCCTCCTCGACACATGACCTGTGCTAGACCTAGAGTCAAATCTCGTCGATACGAAGCGGGGTCGTCGCTACTATTAGATGAAAGCAAGAGGCTGCTAATTGGGAGCGCAGGATCGCACGATTAACGTGACAGCGATTCCGCAGGTCAGGCTGCTCGGAACCAACGATGGAGAGAAAGACCAGTAGTTTTGGTCCTGGCCTGCGGAAGGTGCAAAAAATACATATGCAAAAAGACAAGCCGAACGCGGGGGTCGAACCCGCAACCTTGAGATACCGTGAAGACTAAGAGTCTCACGCTCTACCGATTGAGCTAGCCCGGCTAGTTGTTGAAAAAGCCTAATCTTTTATGCTATATAACTCTACTGTATTGTTTTTGTACGATGGCTTCCGGTCGGAATGCAGTCCACAACAACATATTAAGCTCTAGACATATTACTTATGTGCCGCCTTTCTATTCTAAGAGAATAAGTGCTCCATTAGTTAATCGTACAACTTGACTATAGTTTCTCTGATGAGTCTGATCTCAATGATCCATACTCAAGTTTCTAGAGGAAGTGGTTTTCTATTGGGCCAACGAGTCTCTTTCCAAAGAGATTATATATATCCCGTCAGGGAACCCGCCTACATTGATTGATTTCTGCGTACCTCGTCCGTGGGGCTTTCTTCAAGTTTGCTCCTGTCGTTACACCTGCGTCATCCTTCTGACTTTCTCAATATATTTTAAATGCTACATACCTTTCAACATGTCGGACGTTCAAATGCCTCACCCTGTCCGATATTGTCAGGCCGTGATTGTGTTGCTTTGTTGAGATTACGGCACTAGATCTGCAAATTCCTGGATGGCGATTCCGACTTGTATCCTGGATTCTATAAACGAAATGGGGGAGAAGTAGGAAGTAATCTACTGTGCACTCCAAGAGGGAGAACTCTCAAGGATCTACATTGTTCTAGATGAGCTCCGCAGAGACTGGGCTTTAGGGCATGGTCCATTAGCGATATAGGGTCGATACTTGCTAGACGTTTCCATCTACGGTCATTCCAATGAAAGAACCGTATGGACCGAGGGAAGCAGATTGAAACTGAGTAAGCGGAAGCAGCAGATTAAAATAGCCGGTGGTGGTGGACGCTCGGCGCGACCACGCAGTTCTACTGTATATCTCTCAGCAAAAGATCCACGACCCTGGGACCTCCCCCACAAACCCGACGGGGTGGCCACGGTCCACAACTTGGAAGGTCCACCGAGGGGAAGCCGGTTGGGTCGCCTTCAGCATGGACGGAGGGCCATGCGGGTGAGGCAGGATGCAAGGCACCCTAATCTCACATATACCCATTACGCAGCATACCGATATCCTTGTCACATAAGCACGACGCGATTAGACTGAATTAGCTTAATGACAAATAGAACGCAGTGTTTAACGGCAGATCACTTTTCTAGGGAGCCTGTTTGATACATCTGCTAGGTACTGGAAATACACATATGAATAGAATACGGGCTCATAGATGTCCCCACACTACGCAAACGCACTGGATGGTCTAGTCAAACTTGGAATTCTTGAACGGTTGGCGACTCGCGTCGAACTTGTGGTGAATGGTTAGCAATCATTCTCAGGGCTAAAAAGGGGAGATCACCGTTTACTTTAACGTTGCTGGCCTGGTCCAACACCACGGCTCGCTCTCCAAATCCAATCCATGTAGCCGGCAGATCCAGACATGTGGTTTTCTCCTCGAAGTCGGCCTGGGCATTGCGAACGGCCTTGATCGATCTTTTCCCGCGCAATATCATGGTGAAGACCAATCGATAGCGCACCGGAGGCTCCCCTCCAAAATAAGCACCCAGATCAAATCCAGCATCAACAGGGACATTCACCAGCATCGACTGTACCTCCGTCGATGCATGACGAACTAGAGATGATATCAGATCTGAGATCAATGTTTCCGACGGGATTTCCGGGTCGTGAAGCGCAACGAAATACATAGCGACGAATGCATTCTCGGCCTGCTGGTCCATCCCGGATGCGCTAGCGAGGGGTAGGGGCACAGCGTCCTCTCTCACGAACATTGGAAGGACCGCGCTGAAGTCGGAAAAGTTCACGCCATCAGGGCCCACTTTTTTGGACACCCATTCCGATCGAAACACGCGCATCAGGTGCTCCGAAGAGTCAAAATAAAGCTCTGTAATGCCATCGCTAAATGCCCAGGGCGGGTGGGCATTCGGGACGTTCTGTGATGGGTCGGCATGGTACGCTGCGTCAACGAAATGTGTCTGGAAGTATTTCCTGCGCTCTTGTTAGCGGCCATGAACAGGTGAAGAGGAGACTCGCCTACCCAGGAGTCTCTGCAGCAGTCGGTGCAGTACTGATTGCACCGTGCTTTTGATAGTGATAGTCAAAGTATTCGTCCTTTGTCAGACCTGCCTTGCGGCGCAGGACGACCAATTGCTTGACAGGGGCCATCGTATTGTACTCTATAATCCACAGCGTACTTGACTTGAGCTGGTTCTGAAGGGAGAGACCTGGGGAACAGAAATGAAACGCAACTATTTATGGCCCCCGAAGTAAGGAAGCAGCACTAATTGGCGCTCTCTAAGCTACATGGTGGTCTGTGTGGTCTGTAGTCAACCCGGTGGGTAGCAGGATATCTTGCGGCACATCCAAGGAAGGGAACCCCTCCTCCACTTCCCGTCGGGGTGGACATCGCGCTTGAACTCTCACAGTAGGGCTAAGTCACTGTTAGATGCAGTCGTAGTGTCCCATCTCACACTCTGAACTACCGATATGACCTACCGGTGCCCGCCTGGTCATCACCCCACCGGCCCCGTCGGCCGCTCGGAGTTTGCGGCGGGCTTCCCCACGTTGATCAATATGCTGTGCTCACTAAAAAGTCACCGCTAGTGAGCCCGTCAACTACTCAACATATATTGTCCCAGAAGCTTGAGTGAATAATCTTCGGCGCTGCTTTATAGTCTCATACTCATTTTTCGCTTCACGTATTAGCATGATCATGGCTGTGACTCGCCCAAAATACCAGACATCTACATCGGACGTGGAAGGGTACACCCGCGTTAAACATGTCTATGTGCCCATGCGCGATGGAATTGAGCTATGTGCCGACCTCTTCCTTCCGTTTGCCGCATCAAAAGAGGCCAGGAAGGTGCCTGTCATTTGCAGCTTGGGACCGTACGGCAAGGATATCCATGCTTCACGCTTTGGGCTGCCGAAGACCCCTATTTATGCGGAAATGTACAAGCACATAACGCCATTGGGGCCAGACGCTGCTTTTGAGCTGTGTGAGCCCACTATCTGGGTACGTATAGCGGATATATGTGATGAGAGTTGCTTTCGGGACTAAGCTTTTTTTTTTACCACAAACAGTGCAGGGAGTATGGTTACGCCCTTCTTCGGGTCGATACGCGGGGCATTGGGGGCAGCCAAGGCAAGCTGGATCCCTTTGGCTTGGAACGATCCGTCAATATTCAAGCAGATGCGGAAGGGCAAGGTAATTACCCCTCCCCTGCTATCGAACACTCGTGGGGAGTTGCACCGGTTGTCTAACCGCTTGTTCCATCGCGGCCAGATCTGTATGACGTCGTTGAATGGGCGGCGGTGCAGTCGTGGTGTACCGGCAAAGTGGCATTTTCAGGTATCAGTTATTTTGGGATGGTGGGCTACTGGGCGGCCATGCAGAGGCCGCCACACCTGAGTTGTGTCATGTCGTATGAATCCGCCTGCAGCATGTACCAGGCGGCCCGACGGGGAGGCATTTATAGCAACAATTTCCAGTCCCATTGGTACAACAATATTGTCATTCCTTCTCAGGGTGGAACGCAAGACGGTACTCTCAGCGAAGAAGAGCTCGCCGCCAACAGGGTAGATTACCCGAAACTGCTGTCAGAGATTGAATATCCGACAGACGGACCCTGGTCTGTACTGGAACGAGTCCGCAGGTTGTCAGACATTGAAGTCCCATTTTACAGCGCAGGAAACTGGACCGACCCGGAGCTCCACCTGCCCGGCAATCTTCGTGCGTTCAACGGCATAAGCTCCAGACACAAGTGGCTTGAAATGCACACTGGAAATCATCTAGGAGCCTTTTACGAGCCTGAGCATATCAAATTACAGAAGCTGTTCCTCGACTGCTTCCTTTTCGATCAAACAGATAATGGAATGTTCGATGTGCCTCAAATTCGATTGCTTCAGCATCACGGCACCGAGACCTTCTATCGAGAACATGAGCTTGCTTTCCCTCCGCCTGACGCCGAAGATGTCAGCTTTTACTTGACCCCTGGAAAATACCTGTCTCTTGAAAGGCCTGCCGAAGGAAAAACCGCATTCACCTACCAAGCTCCGAGGGATAATCTTGTTTTCGAACTGAATGCTGCATTTTCCGAATCATTTGAGCTCCTGGGCTCACCATATATGGAGCTTGAGGTCAGCACGAGGGCTCGGGACCTGGATCTTTTCATCCATCTTCGAGCGATCGACCAGGACGGAAATATCATAGTTCTGAAGGGTAACCACGGAGAGCCTATGGACAGCTTTGCTCGTGGTTACTTTCGTCTGTCGCACAGGGATGAGGTTGCAAAGAACTTTACCCAAGAGCGGATTCTGTGTCAGCCTCAGCTTCCGCCTTCCGACGTTGTCCCCACGAATGTCTATTCCGTGCTGGTGCCTCTATACCCAGCTGCATTTCTCTTTGATCAAGGCCAGAAAATCAGCTTGGAGATTGGCTCGGTCAATACCTCCAGCACAATCCCTCCTATGCGGCATGAGGGTGGAGACAGGTCTATTGCACGGTTCGAGGGCGAAAACGTAGTTTTTTCCCACGGCCGGCTTGTTCTTCCCCGCGTGAGAAGGTAATGGGCATCTTTTAACTATTTCATGGTAGCTATACGTGTAAGATATATGGACGGATTTTGTAGTGTAAGGCACACAGACCTGAGACTATTCAGTGCGCTACTTAGTAGGTTCTAGGGCCCGCGAGAGGTCACTTGAGGGTAATGTTGGTCTTTTGGTAAAAGTTTCTTGTATCGCCCAAGTCCTATATTAGGTGTCTTACACTGCTATAACTTCGCATATAGCTTGCATTTACTTGAGCTCTTCAATCAGAGATAATACACCCAGTGTTGCTTGAAACAGTCTTGGGAGGAGGAAAAAGTTCCTTGCACGGTCAACTCAAGACAGGCAGAGCAATGCAGGGGCTTGTCGAAGTCTAGGAACAGCACTCATTATCGCTGTCGATCTTATGAATAAAATTCCACAGCATCACCTCTAAAGTCCTGAATATACGTTATCATGTAGAACAGCCTACATACAATGAAAGAGCGAAGCAGCAGATACGGCATCTCAGGTCGTACATGGAGGGTAAGAAGAGAAGGCTGAATTCTGCAAGTGTTTACCAAATACGAAAAAGCAAGGGACCGGCGTCCAACTGTTCAATTGATTCGTTAATGAAATCGAACAAAGCACTGGAAGTGTCTATGTAGCAAGAGACATAATGCGGCCCAAATACGCATAGATGCGGAAAATATCGTCAAGCTCTCCAATCATACCTACATACCCATCCGGCCGTACGACAACCAGTGCGCCGCGCGCTGGATCAACACCATAGGTGCGGTATGCATCGTCCAGTTCGTAGCCATTGTAGAACGTCATCTCGTTCTGCTCCTTTACGCACTTGGGGATGCCTTCCCAGGTGACTTCGCCTGGAAGACGTGGATAGATGATGATCTGTTCGATTAAGGATTCAGGAAACTGCCTGACAAGGGTTGCCGTATTGTTGACTGCGGCTGCAGAGACGCCGTTGGTATCGAGGAGATCGTTGGTCAGGAGTGACAATAGACGGAACCGACCGGTCGAGGGAAGGTCTTGCAGTGGAGATTTGTTAGCAGGGATTTTTGTAAGGTATATGAGCAGCGAGACTTGGTAACTGCGTACCGTCATGAATATCACGATGCCACCCGTCCGCAAAACGTTTGAGCTTGATATTTAGTAGGCGACGCCCAGAGCATAGAACGCCCGACATGAAGTCATCACCAACAATCGGGCTGCTCCTGGCGATAGAAGACTTGTCAACTGCTAGATTATCGACGTACTCTATGCCACAGCCGCTAGTGAAACCGCACCCGGTGCTGAATAGGTCGACAAACTCGGAATGGGAGATTCCAGACTTGGATTCGATCGTGCCCACCTTATCCGAGAAGCTGCTTGAGAACTTCTTATCAAAATCAATCAATCTTTGAGCGTTCGCATGGCGTTCTGTGTGGTATGTGTCGAGCAGCGCATCTGATTTCCTTTTGTCTGACGAACTAGGGGTTAGGCCATTGATCTGATAAGCGAGCTTCCAGGCCAGATTGTATGAATCCATCATGGACACGTTCATGCCTTGGCCGGCCTTGAAATCTACGTCAGCTGTCAAGAAGTAGTAAAAGATAGGAACAGGCTACCTTTGGGCTATGTGTATGGCATGCTAAGATTCATTAGTAAAGTTTCGACGCAAAAGGTCTGGAGCAGTAAAACTCACCATCGCCGACAAGAAATACGCGACCAAGCCCGCTAGAATCCTTCACGATGAACTCCGGACACACTCGCTGCCCAATCTGGTATGCAGCCCACCAGTCGATCGCATCATCCCTCTTGGGCCGAATGTAGTACGGCTTAAACACATCCTCAATCTGCTTCAGGATGCCTTCCAAAGTGACCTGGCTCCGTTTCCCCTTCGCCTCTTTCTTCAGATCCGCATCGGTGTCGGTACTCCCAGACTCTACAGCCCCTGGAACCTGCACATAGAGTCGGGTAATATACTCACCCGTATTAATCCGTTCACGAGGAATGACCATAGCAGACCCCGCAGATGAATGGACAGCGCAGCGTCTGCGGATATCGGGAAAGTTGGTGTCAATGACCAGGTCTACAACTCCCCAAATATAATCCAACGATTGGCCTTCCAGCGAAAGGCCAACCGATTTCCGGACAGCCGAATGCGCACCGTCTGCCCCGACCAAGTGTTTTGTACGAATGACTCGCGGGGCTCCATTGACTTCAATTTCAGCAATCACGGGGAATTCTGCATCTGTATGCTCGTCGATCCGCAGTGATAGGAGTTTGGTGTCCCTCATGACTCCGCGCGGTGAGTATCGGAGGAGGTCTGTCTCCATGATCCGCTCTACGCGTCCTTGGTGGATGGTAGCCTCATAAGGGAACCTCGCAGGTGGGATGACTTCCGGTACGATAGAGCGTCTTTCGATCAATTTCACCGGGTCGTCAGAGATGTTCCAGAATGCGAACTCCCACATCTGACATGCCTCATTCTCAATTTCATCGGATATACCCAATGTCTTTAGAACCTCCAGGGTGCGAGGCTGTATACCATCTGCCTGGCCAGATTTTAGCGTGCCAGGTTTCGAGTCAATGCATAATACGGACTTGTCTGACAAGCCATATCTGGCTAACAGCAGGTGAAGCATGAGGCCTGCTGGTCCAGCCTGGTCAAGGGTTAGCGACAATCAGAGTCCGGGGAATCGTCATTGTCTTGTTGACATACCCCAACAATAACCACCTCGTATCGTTCTATCTCATCTTCTGGGGGCACAAATTCAGGGGTCAGGCGAGGGAGTGGAGGTGCAAACGATGGGTGGACCCTCAGGTCGCGCCAATTTGAGGCCTGTTCAGTGAAGAGAGGCATGACGGCGTGGTGAAGGTGACAAAGTGGGTGTGTGTTGATCCTGGGTGATAGGTAGGGCAACAGGGACGCGGCTTAATATCTTTTCATCTAACCGCTGTATGTCCTTCTAGTTATATTGACACCGGTCTGGGGTACACTTATGACGTGCCGATCTATTTCAGTAGGCATTTCTCATAAGGCACCCCGCCGGATATAATACCCCGCCATGTGGCGCCCGAAACTGCGGGGTGCCTAGTAGAAGGAAGCGAAACCCCTGGAGCCCCCACAATTCGACCCCACGCATCAGGGTTGCAGTTGTGGGGGCCCTATTCTAGTATGATAGGGTAAGTCCTTCGCAACATTGCTGGACACGCTTTATAGCAACTCATACATTCGGTTTATTTTCTAACGCAGCACATAGAACGGAAGAAAACGATTGCGAGATGCCCCATCGGCCAATGCGATTTAGGAGATCAATCAAGCGGTGTAGGTGACTGACGCTCAATATTGTAGCGTCGCCGAAACCTTGTCCCTGAGGTTCACGGGGAGCCGTAAAGCTCTCTACTAGTCGGATCTCGGGAGCGTCGAATGCGTCGGTATCAATGGTATGGCGGCCGCAACGTGAGTAAAACATAGCCATACCAGAGCTGCGCTGAAAAGAGCTCGAGGTACATGAATCGCCGGCTCCGATGAGACACGCATCCGTTCAAGGTACCGCTGTATTAATAAGACATGCACCAAGCACCTACTTGCATCGAGGGAGGTAGCCCACGACCTAATGAGAGAAAAGCTGGCGTTAGCGGCACTGTCGCCGTCTCGACCAATGGCTTGCTCCAGAAGGTCTATATCAGCATAGATACTAATGAAAACAGAGTGCCACAGGACCGGTAGGCTAAAAGGATCGTCCTCCGCATCCAGGGGGAAGTATTTGGCATATATTCTCCACCATCGCATGAGGACGTTCGACAATTGTTTAGATTCATGTTCGTCCAACGTATTCGATCGTCGAGCTTCGATCGTATGTGCATTGATACTTTCCAGGACTCCATACGCTGAGAACTTAGAGAATGACACCGTCGCTTGAAGCGGATCGAGTGAATTAGAGAGCGATGGGTCCTTGGTTGGCGTGTTTCTGTAGAGTTCGGCCCATCGTGACGCGGTGGGTGCCATAAACAGTGCGTCAGAGGCTACACGTGGATACTGGTTAAGACGATGTTTACGGAGAGGCTCGTGGTGCAATAGACTAGCCAACTCTGCATCGTGGATGTTCAATGCAATCTCCACCCGCCTTCGCTGTTCGTGATCAACCCACCGACTCCACTGCTTATCTAGATCAGCCATCGCGGGGTCCAGGTCTGGAGCGTCACGCGGGCCCAGGTTTGCGTTCTTGTTACATTCACGCGCCCATGCTATTACGGTACCATGCAGCACATCTGCCAGGATGAGAGTCTTGGGACGGCCCAATAAAATTGCGAACGTCTGACCAAGTACAGCGGCTTGTACCATTGATAAGGCGTCGGAACAGCTGTGCGACAAGATAGTCTCCCAGGACGCTAAAATCGCCTTATTCAACCTCTCAAAAAGATGGATCCCTCGCGCCACGGCAGAGGCCGATCCTACAAAGAGGCTGCCGACAGAGCAAATTGAGACGAAGAGCAGAGAATTCTCCTTGGTGGGCTTAAACGAAGGCGAATGTACGATAGGAAAGAGGGAGTTGAAGCGGCTGAAGAAGAGGTTCGCGAAGAGGTTTAGTTGGTCAGACGACGGGAGAGTCTCGTCGTATATGTGAGGCTGCAGCGTCTGCGACAGGCCCGCCCGGTAATTCTCATCAGCCGCGACGTTTCCCTCACCAAAGCAGCCCCCACGATTGCTGGAAGCCCATGGCGAGTTCCGTGCCCCTTGCCCAACCGTCAGCCGCGAAAACCATCTCTGCTGTACGAGGTTAGTTGCTAGCTCCTGAGCATCTGTCGGTATCGCGCCTGAAGATATCGGTGTGGGTGGCAACAATACGGAGACGTCACCAGAGTTAGATGGCGGCCGTGGAGGCATTTGCGCCCATTCCGATACAGCTGACGATAAGGTAAAATCCAAAGCGTCGACATCCAGCCCAGTCCACATAAACCAAGCATTTGGATCAGCGTTGAGGATGGGGTCGTGGGGAATCATCTCCAGCGGGCGCTCGGCATCTATTGACTGAGGGTTCTCCACCTCAGGGGACTGGTCGGATAACCCAGCCATAGGAGCGGAGGGGCTTGGGGTCCAAGGGGTGTTGAGTTCTTCCTGGGACACCGTTGTGACCATGGTGGTGTCCTTTTCCGATTGGTCTGGTGATTGTGCAGAAGCATTATGCTGATTCTTTTTGTGCCGTCGCAACACATCACTGGAAAGGACAGGTCAGGTTGGTACGTTGGTAGGACTGACTACACGGCAAACCTTCGCGAATAGAGCTTGCCACAGATGGAACATCTGTAGGGCCTTTCTTTCGTGTGACTGCGAAGATGGCGCGTCAGATGCTCCGCCTTGGAGAAAACCCTGTTACAGGGACGACAACGCCGGCTCTGAACATCACTCATTCTCTTTCTGGTGATTATTCGTCAGGCCTTCGGGACCAGATGGACTTGGAGAGGGAATCTGGGGAGAGTCACTGGTTGTCGGTGGGAAAGGCTAAAGCCCGCAGAGATCCGGGGACTCCACATCAACCCCACGGGTGTGGCACGTGACCAGGTGCTCCCCAGCGTTTGAGGAAGTCAGAACGCAGGTGGGGTGAGGAAGCAAAGTTTAGGCTCACCCCGCAGCCTGGATGTACGTACATATCCTTCTTTCTCTCCACACCAGTATATTTTTCACCAAACTGCTTGATCTGGCAGGAATTACAATACAGCCTTTAAGCCATATTAACGGGGGTTCCTGCACTTCTATCAGTCACTATATATTCACATATGATTGGATTTATCGAACTTGGCCCTACACTACTTGAGTATATCTCGTGAATTCACTATCTCCGGGAGTCTCCGAGAAGGAATCATATTCAGATAGCCTCCTGGACACGTTGATGTAGTGCCGCCATTGATCCAAGTTCACTCCTCAGGTCTCCTTCTGCTGCCTTGAGCACCGCTTCACAAATTGGGAAACTCTCTCCTCGATGGCGAAGTATAAGCCTTAAGATGTCAGGTACACATTCTCCATTATTCCCTGCTGCTGCCTTGACCACTTCTTCAGTAACTGGGAGACTCTTCCCTTGATGTTGAAATAGGATCTCTAGGATTTCACGTCCACGACGTCTGTTCCCTGCCGCTGCCTTGACCGCTTCTTCAGTTACTGGGAGATTTTTTCCTGAATGTTGAATTAGAATCACCATAATTTGATATCCACGATATTTGTTCCCTGCAGCTGCTATAACCGCTTCTTCGGAAACCGGGAGACCTTTCCCTCGATGTTGAAATAGAGTCTCTATAATTCTATGTCCATAATGTCTGTTCCCTGCCGCTGCCTGGACCACTTCTTCAGAAACTGGGAGACTCTCCCCTCGATGTTGAAATAGAATATCTAGGATTTCAGGTCCACGACGGCTGTTCCCTGCCGCTCCTCTGACCACCTTTTCGGAAACTGGGAGATTTTCTCCCTGGTACTGAAATAGAACCTCCATGATTTCAGGTCCATAAGGTCCTCTGTTCTCTGCCGCTGCCTTCACCACTTCCTCAGAAACTGGGAGGTTATCTTCTTGATGTCGAAATAGAACCTCCACAATTTGGGGCCCATGAAGCCCCTTATTCCCTGTCGCGGCTTTGACCACTTCTTCGGAAACTGGGAGACCTGTCCCTTGGTGTTGGTATAGAACCTCCATAATCTGGGGTCCATGAAGCCCCATATTCCCTGCTGCTGCCTTGACCACTTCTTCAGAAATTAGAAGATTATTCCCTTGGTGTCGAAATAGAACCTCCATAATTCTATTTCCACCATCTGGCTCCTGGCCACTGCCTTGACCACTTCTTCAGAGACTGGGAGACTCGCTCCTTGGTACTGCAGGAGGAATTCCAGGATGATACAACCATGTGATCCATAATTCGTTGCTACAGCTATAACCGTTTTTTCTGAAAATAGTAGATCATGTTCTTGGTATAGTAAGAGATCCTGTGGGAGTGTCTCTGTAGAACTTCGATCCTCGTCTGTAGAACCCGTAACCAATTCTTTGATAATTGGATCTTCTGTTCCACTTTGACGGAGTAGTTGTTCTATTGTCTTAATTTTGGACTTTCCCTGCTTCAATGTTCTCATAGCAACATCTAACACAGCGAGCGTTGTGTGTTTCAATCTTCTCTCAGTACCGGACCACTCTTCTCGATAACTTGGTGCTAAATCACTGAGCTGGAAAATAACCTCAGACTTACCCTTACTTTCTGTTTCAGAGCGAGGAATCTTCCATGTGAGGAGAATATCGTGATTACCATTCATAAATAGTCTTTCCTGAGATATCATCGTTAAACTCTTTTTACCTTGTCTTTCCTGAGGTGTCACTGCCGGTATGACGACGATGAAATGGTCTCTGCACAACCTTATGATGCTTGGTTTTGAGGCCCCTCTCAGAAGACAGATAATATCGCCAGCCTGAATCAGCACTGCAGAAGCCTGTGGTTTCCAATTAGTTTCCCAAAGGAAATGAAAACCAAACCACTGGGCAGTGTCATTGAGGAGAATTTCAATATTCTGTTTCCCAAATTCAGAGACGTTCTCTTCAACAGAGTTAATATGTCCTAAAATCCGACCTTGGCCTTTGATAACAACTGTTTCTGTCTCATTCCATGTGTCCACCGAACATTCAGGGAATATATGATTGACGACCTGCTTGAATACCTCCTTCCATGGGAGGTTATAGTTCGGCTCTAGGGCAGCTGTGATAGGGTCGGCACTTAAGCCTAACAGTGCATATACTTTGTCATGCTGCTTGGTCGCATTATGGCTCTGATACATGCCAATGAGCTCCCCTATCGAGATGGACCCGCGTGAACCAAGCTCATATTTTGGCCGATAAAGTGCACCTTTTATGAGATAAGCGACCGGGCCAGACCTACTCAGGATATCCGAAGAAATCATTAATCTGCTAAGCCCTTCGCAGAAAATGTGTCCGTTTATGTATACAGAGCCACACATGATATAAACACATCGTGCGACACCAACTTCTTGCACCACCTGTTTTAGCCTGTGAGTGGTCGTTGCTGACACTGTTGGTTAATTGCTGTCTTACCCAGATACGGCTAAACCAATCTCGCTGTAGCAACCGCAGACAAGCATCATAGCTTTCCAAATGGTTCGGAATGGAGGATTTATCCTGTCCTTCTCCAAGACAACGGATTCTTTCGAGCGCTTGATCACCATTCTCTGTGGCCTCTCCCAGCCAGACAATGACGCGTTCGGCTTGTGCATAAATCGTCCGCATCAGTGGGATCTGCTTGCTCTTCTCATTTCCCTGGTCTTCCTCATCCTGGTTAATACAGATTGCATCCACCCAGAGTAATCTTTCCAGTTGGCGGTTTCGAAGGTTTACCAGTGCGCTATGGAGATTTGTTGTAACATGGAAAGTATAGCCGTTTAGAATGATTGATTCGGGCTTCACCTCACTTCCCCATACATAAGAAAGTGCCTGATAAAGGTGCGCTCCACCTCCTGTCTCTGACAAGTCATAGTTGAACAGCTCACACTGTATTGGTGCCCTCTTATCCTTATGTGGCAGCAGGCGGATCATGCGAGTGGTATACGGCTCTTGCGGAAGCGGTGGGTAAGTAAAAGAGGGCGGGGTGATATGAGAGGTATGTTCTGATTTTACAGACATTTCCTGTGTATATGTTTTGCCCTGTGCTGAAAATTACTGGATGTAACTTGAGTTTGCTCAGCGTGAGCTGATTCAAGAAGTTTACACAATGTGCCTGAGTGAGTGAGTTGGTATGTCTAAATAGAGGGGTAACTAGTAGGCAAATCTGATTGGGTCGATCTGATCGGGGGCTGTTGATCGAAAATCTCGACTCCTAACTAATCAACTGGCACTTATATTATGTGTGACATGACACGTCGTGTAGGGCGCTTGTACTAGTAGATGCCACGAGCTCTCGCAACTGTGATACGCCTGTCGACGCCTGTGGCCAGCTCAGCCAGTCCGGCATCACCGTTATTCAAACATACAACTTGAGGCTGTCATTTCAGCTTCTACAGGCGAAAGTTCGCTTTGGTGTCACATTCATAGGCCTTGGGTTCTGTCGAATCAATTATGTGTAACATTCTTATTGACTCACATGGGGAACCACACCACTCTTACATGTATGTGCTTTATATTGTATTTGGGTGACGGACATGGGCCGCGGTTTACAACCAAAGAAGAGGCGACAGCTGCGCATATTAAAACTTTTGTTGAGAGTAAAGCTCGTGAGCTTTAATAATGTGAACTCTATAGTCGATTTCTTTATGCGTCTTAGTTTGTGTAGAAGATCACACTTCTCATCCGGCAAACTGGACGAAGTAGTATTCCTAGGTGTTATCATATTATGAGGCCTGATATATACCCATACGGGTCGAGAGAGCTATGCCCTTAAGATCTTCGAAGCCGCCTCGTATATCTTCAGAAGCAGCATTTCTAGCATGATAGTCGGCATCTGTATTCCAATTTCTTGGAATATGCCAGAATTCGACTTGCAGGCCATTGCTATCCCATCGTTCTATTTCCCCAAGTAGGCACTCCCAAAGATCCCGGTTCTTAACCGCTGCTCCTGTTTTCGTCTTCCAATCTCTCGATAGCCATCCACGTACCCAAAACGTCACACCCTCGACAATATATTCGGAATCCGTCGCGATCACGAGACAGTATTGAACCCTTCGCCTGTCCAAAACCGGAATCGCAAAGCCGCAATAACGGCGCGTAGCTCTGCCCGGTTGCTTGTTTGCGCATGCGCTTCGCCAGTAGGCCCTGAGGTTTCGAGAGGAAAGCGTACATAGCTAAAATATTCAGGCTGTATTGTGGAAGATTTGAAAACAAAGCTACAGCCGGCTTTGGGGTTCGCTCCGCCGTTATCTAAACATGCACCAGCTGTGTAGATAAGGAATCGTTTGGCGTTGTTTCGATGAATAACCGGCATGCAGCTGGTGAGGAATTATAGCTGACACCAGGTGGGAAGAGTGACTGCGGAGTATCCCTTGTGTTATCAGGGTGAAATTGTATAGGAATAACGCGTCCTGTGCCAACTCTAAGTCGGGTCATACGGTCAAATGGTGTCTCCTCGTCGCTCACGTCTTCATCACGAGAGTCCTGATCTTCTTCCAATAATTCTTCCATGAAACTGTAATCAATAGTGCAGATAGGACAGACGACAACGTGGTGTGAGCCACACACTAAACGGCCATTAGGAAGTTCGATAGGGCTGTCTGGGCGAAAAGACATCTTTCAAGGCGTAGCAGTAGAGTGAGTTAGGACTGTCCGGATACTTGAAAGGGGATAGAATTCTTGAGTATAGACTATTCATCAAGGGACGTGTAGTTGTGTGAGGATGTTGGGTCGGTTGGGACTGTTATATGGCTGCTGGAGGGGTAACAAAGGTGATGCCTGTGGAGTTGATTCATTCATTGAAAACTAAATAAAATATACAGTAAACCCCCGTTATAAGCAACCCCGATATAGGGAAATTTCATAACTCCAAGCTGCCTCATATACAAAATTTCTTATAAACAAAGTAAAGTATCTCTTTCTAGCTAATTATTTATTTTTTAAAGATATAGATTAATCATGTGCTTTTATTCTTCTTTGAGTCTTAAACTTTACTACTACCCCACAGTAAAAACAGAAATATGTATATCGCTACCCTATATATCACTACCTGATTACTCTTAACCATTGAGAAAATAGTTAACTATATACTAAATTATATAGAGTCTTTAAAATTCTATTTATACTACTCTATATAGAAATACCACTATAAGCAATCCCCCGATATAAGCAATTTGAATCGCTTGCCAAATCAATTGCTTATAACGGGGGTTTACTGTACCTCCAAGTCCCAACACTCAGGGTAAACCGACAGATCTAAGGCTGATGAGACCTATTTCGAAAAATTTGCTTTTTTTGCAGAGAGCTCCATACGTCTGTAGTATGTACTAAGTATGTAGTTTCGTGAAAGGCCCGACCGAGGCTTTCTGAAAACTTTCATCTTCTCGGGTTAATACAAAACTTGCTTTAGCTTCTCGAATAGTTCCGTCACGTAGATACTCTTCAATCTCTAGAAATGTGGACTCTGGTTGGCGATTAGTGGATGAATGAATGATTTATTGATTTATTCTTTAAACCAATGTCGCTGCTTAGTTATGCGTGGAGTAGCTATGTAGGTGGAGCAGCTGGTGCTCCCTGCCTAGTATCCAGACTTCCTTAACCAGTCCCAGAATAAAAAGGGTTTTATCGAATCCTAAAGTTAGCTCTGAGAATTAAATATGTAGTCCTGACTGCTTAGAAGAGGGCCCTTCCTCGTGGTGTTTTGCCATCATTACATATAAAAAAGGGCAAAAAAGATGTCTCGTCCCCCGAGCCCGAATAGCCGGCGACCTTCCGGTACCAAGGTAAATCCTATAATAATTTCTATTGCAGCCGGACGCCATTTCCAACTAGACCATCGGGGGTTTTGAGATGTCGATCTAGGATATTTTATCAATTATTAAGGAAAGTGAAATCTTACGGCATGGTTTTAGGGTTTACGCATAGGCATTGGCTTGTAACTTTAGGATCAGTAGAGCAAAAGTATGGCAAAGTAATAGACGCGATATGACGACTCATTTGAAGATACAATACGTAAGCCTCCCTAGAATAAGTCAAGTCGATTGATCCAGACAGACCTCACGACATTGACACTATGTTTAGTAGTCACTCATGCTCGGAGGAAGATCCTCATTCTGCGTCCCCCAAGCACTTTCCGTCAAACCGAGCTCCAGCTCAAGCACGCCACCCTGGTTGAAGAAGTCATGGCCTATCCAGTTCTTTGTCCACGGCTTACCATCCCGCTTAGCGCTTTGAATATAGATGGCCTTATAATTCGGATCAAAGTTGAGGTTGCGAACTGTGGCAACCGCACCAGTAACGCTGTTCCGGATACTGATCTCTTTGAAGAAGGGCGGTGTGATCAGGTAGACATCTTGTCCGTGAACTGGAAAGAGGCCCATCATGCTTAGCACAGCGAATGAGCCCATCGCTCCACCGTCGTCGTTTCCGGGGATTCCAGAGACCGATGTATTGAACTGAGATGGAATGTAAAAGTGGGAACGTGCTGCCGAGAGTGCGGGCCGACCAGCATAGTGGAATTGGAAAACAGTCAGAAAGGCTTGTTCATCTCCAACATAAAGTATACCCGAATCGTGTAGGTAGTTCAGCCGAGATGTAAAGAGTTGAGGGCCGCCCAGTCGCTTCATCAGTAGACTCATATCCTGGGGTGCATAACTAGGCCCGGTAGGTCAGCTGAGGGTACTGTGCCAGCGAGGAACAACGTACAATGTATAGAGCCAGGAGCTTCCTTCGTATGTTTCATGCCCATCTGGGTTCAGATAGCAAGATGTAAAGTTCATCAGTGGACTACAGAAGATGGGGTCCTGATATCCCCATGTCCCATTCAGATAGCGAGGCTGCAGGAAACCCGTAAAACCCGTATCCACACCATTGATTGTCGATCTCTGATCCTCCCTGAACATGTTCTGCCAGTTAGAAGCTCGCTTGAGATATTTCTCATAGTCGCTTTCATGGCCCATTCGCTTAGCCACCTCGGCAATGCAGAAGTCATTGTATGCATATTCGACGGTCCTTGAAATACTACGCGTGTGTAGCCCAGAACCGTCAGGATCGTAGTCATCCGTTGGGATATACCCCAATCCCTTCCAGCTCCGAAGACCCCCGCGCCCTTCGACATTCCAATTCGACGGCTCAACTTCTGCATCTTTTACAATAGCCTCGTAAGCTGTGTCCCAATCGATATCGCTGACATTCTTCAAGAATGCATCCGCAATGAGAACGTCTGCATTGGAACCTCCTTGAGTGTACCCCTTGCAAAGAGACATGCGACAGTCGGGCAAATAGCCTTCATGGCGGTAAATGTCAACCAAGCTCCTGATCATTCGAGATTGAGACAGCGGATCCAACAAAGTCAGCAATTGGTGCACTCCACGGTAAGAATCCCATATACTATGATTCGCTTGTCAGTGGCGTAATAGTCAATTCCGGCGGGGCTCCCTCACCAATAGAAGCTGTCGTAATATGGTTCTTCACTTTTCCAAAGAGGATTCTCTCCTGTGTAATCCTGCGGGCTAATCATGGCTCGGTACGCACCACTCCAGAAGACCTTCTGTAAATCAGTCGAGACGCCTTCAGCATTAACGCTTATTACATTCAATTTATCCCTCCACGCGGACTCAGCCGCAGACACTGTATTAGCAAAATCGAAGCTGGGCTGCTCTGTTTCTGCATTGGTACAAGCCTGTTCAACACTGATAAAGCTGACACCAACACGCGCAGTGAGGGTATTGTCTTTCAATGCGTGGAACCTCGTAAAGGTACCAGCCGAGAGCGTGGCTGGGGTATTGCTCCCGTCTTCAGTAAGAGTGACAGACTTCTGACTGGAATTAGCTCGATTTTTAACCCATGTCCCTGTGTCGCGAATATCGCCGCCCTTGAAGTCTACACAGAAATGGAGTTCATACGACCCAACACCGAAACTCGGATTGAATGTGGCGTTCCCACTCAGGCGTCCAGAGGAATCAACTGAGGCTATGCCGCCCTTTCGCGACTGCGGCAGATCCATGAGATCAACGAGAATCACTGGACTAAGGGACTCTGTGGGTGCATTGTTAAATGTAAATCGGTATAATGCCGAATGGTTTGTCACCGTCATCTCAGCTTGGACGCCGTTTTCCAAAGCAATGCTAAAGTAGCCTGGTCTGGCCTTGGGAGAGTCTCGCACCCATGTGCTTGCGCGATCGTTTTGTTGCCATTTACATTTGTTGAGATCATCGTCTGGGCAATTAGGCTGCGCGAATATAGGGAAATTTCCCATAGACGGTGACTAGAAGCAGGTCAAACCCCTACAAACTATGATAGAATCATGTCCAAGGCCAGCACTTACACCGCCGGTCCCGGAATCATGGGTATGTGAGAAGCCAGTAACAGTTTCGGTGTCAAATGCAAAGCCAGCTTGATTCTCCCCCTGTGTGTCTGCTACCGCTTTTGCCATACCTTTACGGACGTTAGGGGCTGGTTTCACATCTTAAGTAAGAGAAGAATCACCAAATGGCAGTGTCGCCCCAGCAAAGGAATGCCCTAAACTGCCTAATTAGTACGCTGCGCATGAAGAACTGCTGCCGTGCAGATACATGCCTCCATTGGAAGTTCCAATAAGCGGATCAACGTAATTTAGGACATCAAAAGCATCTTGACCTGTATCTTGCCCGGTTGCTCGGCTCGCAAATAAGAATGTTAAACCAATCGCTCCTAGGAGCTTCCGAGATGCGAAAGCCGCCATATTGGGGGAATCAGATCGCACATGCAGGGATCGAAGAAGATGCGATGGATTGAAAAGAGAGACAGGTGGTAACAAGGCATCAAGAAAAGATGCTTAAAAAAGGGGGACCCCGCACGCACTCCCATATTGCCTCCCCCCCCTTGCTTGTTTCCAACGTGGCTGGACTATTGGAATGACATCCCATAAATGCCCGGTCACATTAGGCCGAGCAAATAGATCCCTCGAAAGGGCCACATGGCTGTCTGTGTTTGCCCCCGCAGTACTAATGATGGGACATGCCAGAGCGATTCGAACCAATCGTCAATGTGATACAACTTCAAGATGTGACATTGAATGCAGCCCCTCTTGTAGAACGATGTGACATAGCGGAAATTACCGCTGCAGTTAGGAAGAGAACAGCCGAAGGTACTCCAGAGAAGACAAGTTGATGCGGGTAAATGCCGATCATCTCGGATCTTACTTCGGCTGCATTATAGCTTCGGCGGAACCCCGCAATTCGTAGGAAACGACGTTGCACCGCCTTTAATTGGGGCTTCTGAAAGAGACCGGTCAAACATTCAACAAGATCGTATGATCTGTTAAACATGGGCCATGGTGCGTGTACTAATCCACGCTGGTCGAACCTGTGGTAGTGAAGCCGTACCTTAGTAACCTTCCAAAACCCCAGTTACTTTTTACAATCTCCTTTAATGCCCGTGCCCATGAGCCTAGTGGCTGGGAAAGTGCTTTAATATACTTCAGCCGTCTGGTGGATGTCCTGGGGTTGCTTTTTAACGGAACAAATGGGCGGAGACCAAGCCGCAATGGCCTCCAGAGGGTGGCCCATGGGGTTCTTTAGGCCTGTGTCTCCAGTCACTTGATCTACTGAGGGAGATGGCTGGAGATTTGAGAGTTTCAAACGTCTCGGGTCTATCCAACAGTATCGTACTCTGTTGCAGCAACTCTTGCACCATGGACAAGAATATATCCTTGAGGTCTCATGGCCACAATATGGTATTTAATGACAATACCAACGGATTAGGTGCCCCACGTTCTCATCATTTCATCAGATATATTATGCACGAGTTGACCGCGCGAAATATATGAGCTACACTCCCTTGGGTATGATCAGATTCAGCAGCGAAGTGCATAAATGTCAAGTAGATCCTAACAGGATCAGATTAAATCCATCACGATTCTATCCCAAGACTTCCCACTCGTATCGGACGATAGCTTTGGGAAGACCGGGGCAGTACTAGTTGCCGAAGAGTTAATGATGGGCTCATTAGTTGGCAGTCGGGAGGTGAAGTATGCCCGGAAGTTAGCATTTTCGTTTCGCAAAGCAGCATTTTCTGCCCTCAGTTCCTGAACTTCTTGTTGCAGTGATTGCTGGGCTTCGAGCTCCGTCATCATGGACGCCAGTTTCAGCAAGAGCTCAGGCCTTATATCTTTGTCAGCGTAAAGTTGGCCGTAATCAACAAGAAGGTTCCTGGCTCGGGTCAAGACGTGGGTTTCCGGAGTTGCAAAGTCTCCGTGAGGTTTAGAAGATTGGTGACGGTCTACACCAGGCGAAGATAGGTTAGACAGGTCCTGAGTGAGCCCTGCCGATGGGCCTAGAGCTGGAAGAGTCCGACACACATCTATAGTAGCATGCTCACGGGGACTAGCGACTCGGCTATAGCCATTTGCACTGGGAGTGCTGCTCCGTGAGGCGTTCGACGAAGATGTGGACATGTCGAATTGAGGCGGTGACTGATCCCATCGCCTGTGTTTGCAGGATGGACAATGAAACGATTCAGTCGCCATGAAAACATCATGCGATGGCAGACAAGGTGCATGGTAAGATCTGCAGCAGGTTTCACACAATATCAGGTTGCCTGGATAACGACAACCCGAACAGACTAAGTTGTGTGGTTTTCCAGCACCTAGCGGCATTAGAACACACAATCAATGTATGGGATTATCTAGGCCGTACTCACGAGTCCACTCATCGTATATATGGCCTTTTTCCGCGCTGGAGATACTACCAGAACCAAACTGTTCGCTACTAGACACCGCTACTGAGCGCAGGGGCTGCGATATCGCTGTGAGCTCAACGGGTATATGTGTGCTCCGTAAGCCATTTTGGCTCGAGAGGCCTTGAGAAACATTGAGCTGTTTTTCTTTTACCCGCAGCATTGCTAGTGATCCACGAGAACCGTCTAAAGAAATGTACCTGTAAATTAGGACGATAGACGTGAGATCGTATTCCGTATTGATCATAGAGAGGACGGTGGAAAAAGGATGCTCCGTGATCCGAGACCGAGTTGACCTCCGAGCCTCATCCGAGGTAGAGCCGTCCCGTGACCAGGCCGCTGCCAAGAATCCCTGACGACAGAAGCTTCCCCAATCCTGCGATAGTGCCCAAACTAAAACCATTGCTGCTATCTGGAAATTGATGAAGTGCTGCCATAGCACTCAAGGGGCGCCGTTGTGTCTCGACATGTAGAACTGTTTCATGCCTGTTGTCTTTGATGAAACTACTACCACTACACACTATTCCGCCACAATTGGAAGCCCCACTACCCTGTGGAAACCATGCCTGGGGTACCGTCTAACAAAGCATGTGAGCGATGCAAAAAGAGGCATCTCAAGGTGCGTGCCAACCATCGCTTGACTTGCTATCTTGCTTCCTAACCCCCCTAGTGTGATGAGGCACGCCCGAAATGCCAGCGCTGTACAAACGCTGGGGTGGACTGCCCGGGATATGTTCAAACGCGCAAGTTTATAGACCAAGGCGCTTCGGTAAGGCGCCGATACGCGCCCTACCAAGAAGGTCACACAATACTACATACAAGCAAAGGCACAGAAACTGTAAGCTGGCACATTGGACCTTTACATACAGTGCCTCAGGGACGGTGTCTCATACCAACAGGCTACCGCTGAACGCCTGCTCAGCTCGAACCAACATGGCGACCAACAAAGTGCTGGCCCCGGTCAAGCTCGTCCTGCACTCCCGCCCTCTGCGAGCTGGAGATCGAGTGAGTCAGATCAATCAGGAGCTCGTTCACCGCTCCAAGGCATAATGATCAACTCGACAAATTCACCCATACGAACGAATGCTACTAATTTCATGGCAAGCCAGTCCATGACAGACGCCACGTCTGTTGACATTACTAGCCTGGACCAGTCACGAAGCACTGCTAGCAGGAGTGCTGGCCACAGTCCACTTAATATTAATAATGCTACATCCCCTCATGTCCTGGGTAATGCTTACAACGGACTTCGATCCAGACCCCCATCGTCCCATACCGCCTCGGGGAGCCCATCACAGCCTAGCGAACGAGACGAGTTCCAGGATATCTTCTCCGAACTCTTAACGGGTACTGAACAGGAAATAGCTTTTTTGATTCGACATTATTCGGAGAACTTGGGGCCTTGGTACGTGAGAACCTTAAAGCGGGTCGGTGTGGCTCGCGCTGATTACAGGACAGGCTAGACATCTCGGACTCGACCAGATTTTTTGAGGTCCATGTACCAATACGCGCAATCAATGATCCCTTCTTAAATTTTGCAATTGCTGCTCTGGCTGCGAAGCACCTCGGCAGGATGAAAGGTGCAAAATCACCCGCTAGTGGTGGAATGTTCACAAGTCCAGCCACCATGGAAGTCTATCCAAATGCGACACAAGTGGACTGGTTTCTCAAAGCAACTAACTACTACTATATGGCCGCTTCCCGTATGAATTCCGCCATCTGTGAAGCTTACACTTCCGTATCTAGCTCGGCCATTTTAGAGGAATCGGCAATTCAAATCGCCAGCCGATGGTTGAGTCTTCAGCCACAGCAATCTAGTCCTACCACCGAAGATCCTGCTGCTAACACTCTCTCAAGAAAGACAGAGAATATCCTTGCAGCCTCGACTCTCATGACTATGTACAAGCTTCTGGATGAACCCGCAGAAAATTGGCAATCGTGCGTGACCGTCTCGTTCGACCTATTACCCGTAACTGACCACTGACAATCGACTTAGGCACCTTTCGGGAATAAAGGTACTATTTGACTCTTTGCTTCAAGTATACAGTGGTACTTCGCCTATTCCGTGTTTACTGCCTCCAGGGGCTAGGGCCGCGTTCTGGAATCTCGCGCGCTTGGATTACCTAAGTGCTTATATCAATCGGGTTCCAACTCAGTTGGACCAGGGCAACCTTTCGTTATGGAGGGCTGCCGGCATTTCAATTGATGAATCGGGTAACATATCATTACATGCCAAGGATATGACCGATAAGGCGTTATCACACGAAGATGTTGCAGCTAACAGCTTGACCTGGCTTGTTGCAAAAGTAGTCAATTTTCTAGCGGAGTCGAAGAAGCTACAATGGGAACAATTAACAGGCCATTCATCTAGCGATCCAACTACACCGTCTTCAACACCCACTACCTTCACACCATATCCTTCTACTTCCACCTGGTTGAAACTCTGCTTCGACTTCCAGTCCTGGTTCGAAGGGTTACCGGAAACGTTCCGCCCGTGCCTGCGATTAGACCACCCCAAAGACTTATCGAAGCTTCCAGAAATTGTTTATTCGCCCTTTCCCGAAATATTTTACGGACTGACATCCTGTGCGGCGACAATGCAGCAGTACCATTTTGGACGCCTTGCGTTATCTCTGAACAGGCCACCGGATGCTGTCAGCGGGCCCAGCACGGCCTTTGACCGCCTACAAGGATACCGGGAATTGATGAAAGAGACCGAATACCGTGGTCGGGAAATCTGTGGCATTGCGCTCGGTCGTCCTCGGAGTGCCGCACGTGTTTACACGATACCGCTTTTGTTTGCGGTCGGCCAATGCTTTGAAAATCCTGAGGAGCGCCAAATAGTTGTTGATTTACTACGTGGGATCGAGGCGGATCTGGGATGGGAGACGAGCGTTCGGATCCAGAAGCTGCAAGCTTCATGGGCCCAACGATAAACCCATCTCTGCCTAAAGCAGCCATCCAGCCGATTGTGCCTCTGCTTAGCTGGTATAAGTTCGGGAAGCGCAGTCTCCATCGATCTACATCTTGACATTCGATTTCTGGTTACCGCTGCGCATGCCGAACACATAACTAATATTTGCTCAGCATCACCGGCCCAATGATCGTCATATAATCATTTAAATGTACTTATAATTAGGAGCACAACCTCGCACCGAGAATAGCATAGGTATTGCCCTCAGAAGTATTCCTTTTGCTCCCCTCGGAATAATGGGTTACGGCTTGGGGGTATGCTTGAAGAGTGCAGAACACCCACGCTACTGGATCTGTTATCGGGACGGCCCGTCTGAGAACTGAGGTCCCTGTTGGATTGCATTGAATCTTCGACTTTACTAGATTATAATTGCAACTGGTATACGGCAATTTCCCCTGATATGTAGTTGAATATCTCCCGAGTCCTTTTCTTATGTCAAGGATGTTCGTTTCAAAGCTACCATGGATATCCAGCCGGTCATTTTACGAGAAGATTTTCTTTCTGATGAGATTCGGGCCGTGGGATCCACCACTAGAATGGACCCAATTTTTTTTTTTTTGTTTTTACTTTTTTTTGGCGGTACGGTTTCTAGACAGCCTCCACCGCATGGTGTCGCCTATCATCATACTCACAAGCTATAGAGGCACCATGCAGGTCTTTCGCCCATGCCCCTGAGTGTTAGTTTTATTATTATGTGTTCGTCTGTTCCATGTCTCCCCTAATCTCACGGTAACCCAATAAGGTCTGTCTTCCCAACCATCTGGATTATGCGACAGTGGATACGTACCTGACCAGGGGGCCTGGCACTGCGTAGGTAGTTGCTGTTGATCATGTCGGGTCAAATCAGGGGGGAAACGCTCAGAAATCGTTACAGGAGTTGTCAGACTGAGTGAAAACGCACCGTACGCTGACAGAAGGCTTTATATTTTGCTTCGGCCGAGGGTTGCCTGTCGTCCACATCGCCACAATGTAACCTTTCGTCTCATGCAATGCGTCCATTTTTACATTTTGCTCCTGCAACGGCCTCGGCTAGCCGACCTTAGCCGTATCAATTCGGGATAATTGATTGATATGCTAAGACCAACGCACGTCCCCTGGAGTCCTGCGAACTCTACAAGCATTGAGTAGTATCTGATAAGTAATAGACAGTGATCACCTTCCGGAAGGGGTATAAGATGGATCGGCCGCCAGGTGACGAGGTTCAGCTTCCTGTTGGGGCAAAAGACGCGCCAAGAAACGTTCTCAGTCGAGGCCAAGGTTTGCATCTCTCCGAAAAAAGCCCGTCGCTAACCAAACTGTTTCACGCGCTACTCCAAACCCTCCGACGTCTCAGAACAACGGGCAGGCATGCCCATTTCAGCAACGGGAATCCCACCGGATGGAGCCTATAAGACTCCATCTGGCTCTCATACTCGGGTTGTGGATCGGCACGCACCTAGCCTTATGTGAAAGCTCGAGGATTGGAGCTCAACAGACGAATAAAATAGGCTGTGTCGCACGTCATTCGGGTGCTGGTGGAATTTATCTGCCGACAGAGATCCACCTATGGAGTATGTCCGTGGCCGCAGGGGATACTATGTAGCTCCACGGATCTTTATCGGCTCGCTTCAGGGAGGGGCGAGGAGGCGCATTACCATACTGTCATGGTTTCATACCACCTGCGTATTTATAATGACCATGTGAACGTATAAAACTCTTATTGCTAGCTAGCTATATTTCGTTCCCAGCTATTCTCCTGCTATTTCCAGCTCAGTCTTTCTGAGCTTTACTGAGCCGGTCATGCCTTCTTCAGCCGCCTCTGGCACCAGGTCGGAATCCTCCAGCCCCGTGCAGAAAAACGTCAAGAAGTGGTGGAAAGAGAGCACAGTATACCAAGTCTACCCAGCATCTTTCAAGGACTCCGATGGAGATGGGATCGGAGACATACAGGGTATCTTATCCAAGCTAGATTATATCAAAAGTCTCGGGGCCAACATAATATGGCTCAATCCAATCTTCTGCTCTCCCCAGGTCGATATGGGATACGACATCAGTGACTACTATAATATTTATCGGCCCTATGGGACGGTCGAAGACCTTGATCAATTAACGGCTGCGATTCATGAGCGGGGGATGAAGTTGGTCCTGGATTTAGTAGTGAACCATACGTCAGACCAGGTTGGCTACCCCTGTATCACGGCCAAAGATAACACTGACAAGATGTGTCTAGCACCGCTGGTTCCAAGAAGCGCGTTCATCCAAAGCCAATCCCTACCGTGACTGGTATATTTGGAGGAAGCCCATATATGGAGAAGATGGAAAGCCACGGCCACCGAATAATTGGAAGTCTTACTTTGGGGGTACGTATTGTGCTTGCCGAGTCCTGATCTTCCCGTCCTCACGTTCTACAGGAAGTGTCTGGGAATACGATGAACTGTCCGGTGAATACTACTTGCATCTATTCGCCAAAGAACAGCCAGATTTAAACTGGGAGAACCCTTACGTTCGCGCGGCAGTACACGACATCATCCGCCACTGGCTTAATAAGGGCGCCGATGGTTTTCGAATGGATGCGATTAACCTCATCAGCAAAGATCAGACCTTTCCTAATGCCGAGATCACGAACCCAGACTCGCCGTGGCAAGATGGAACGAAACATTTCGCATGCGGTCCCAGGCTCCATGAATACCTTCAAGGTATTGGTAAGATTCTGAAACAGTACGATGCTTTTTCAGTGGGTGAGATGCCAGAAGTCTACGACCTTAACGAGATGCTCCGAAGCGTCGGGAACGATCGCAATGAATTGAGCATGGTCTTTCACTTCGAGACGTACGTCACTGCTATTTGTCTAAGCATATTTCATCACAGCTAACATCGAGTTTAGGGTTTCCCTCGACCACGGACCAGGAGGCAAGTTTACGTCTAGAAAATGGGAATTACATGAGCTGAAAACCATCGTGTCGAGATGGCAAACATTCATGTTCGAGAACAATGGCTGGAATACATTATACCTCGAAAACCACGACCAGCCACGAATTGTCTCGCGATTTGGCTCCGATGAGCCCGAATATCGGGTGCCGTCGGCCAAGATGCTGGCTACTTTCCTGGGCTTTCAGAGCGGGACTCTGTTCATCTACCAGGGCCAAGAGCTAGGAATGCCCAACGTGCCCAAACATTGGGGAATCAACCAGTATCGGGACATTGAAACTTTAAACCATTGGAATGAGTAAGCGCATTGATCGTAATCGTTTCGCATACAGTACAGGCTAACCAGGGTTAGGATCACCACCAACGCTCCACAAAACACCCCACTACATGAGGCCTGTCTTGCTGAATACAGATTAAAGTCGAGGGACAATGCACGGACGCCCATGCAGTGGGACGATTCGCCCAACGCTGGCTTCTCGTCCGTTCGACCATGGCTGCCCATTCACGATAACTACGAGAGTCTCAACGCAGTAGACCAAGTCAACGATAAGGAAAGTGTGTACCACTACTGGGCTAGTGTGCTACGACTACGGAAAGCGTACGCCGATATCTTAGTATATGGGTCGTTTGAGCTTCTGTCTCCCGAGCATCCAGATTTATTCGTCTACGCTCGAACAGCCTCTTCTGGCCGAGCTGTTATAGTGACCAACTTTCGCCCGCACGAAGTAACCTGGTCTGTCCCAGAAAAAGCCTTCAACTCCGCCGGAGATGTCGCCCTCTCTAGTTACCCTGGCCGAACGAGCCATTCCTTACTTCAACCCACGGTGACCATCAAGCCCTTCGAATCATTTGTCTGGCTCAGTGGGACTGGAACATCACGACTGTAGATTATATTACGAACAATTAATGAGCCCATTTAGTATTAATCCATTGCACATCATGCCCAACTGTTCCCCTTTTCCCTATACGAGACGACAATCAGGACCCTTTTCGTGGTGACCGAGTCGTCGAGACTTCCTCAACTGTCTGACCCATTAAACCTAGAGCCCCAAAGGCAAAATATGCAGAAAACCACAGCCGTACATCTAGAACCAACTTCTCGCCCGAGATATCGAATCTCTGCGGCACAGACGCAATTTAAGTCTGAACTCACATTTTTTGGGCAGTCACACTCTTTAATTCCCTGCACAAAGGAGAAATTTCCCGAAGATGCTCCGAGGACGGACCAATTTATCTCCAGGACCTTCCACCAACTTATCTCATTTTTAGTCTTTTGCTTATTGCCAATTTCCGATGATCTGCCATAGTTTAAAAGTGGGACTTGGGCTATTTGTATGACATACGACCATATTTAGCTTGATTCGTGGATTTTCTTTTCCCTTGCTGCATGTTGGTTGTGTCAGATGCCTTTGCTCGGTTTTCTCCCCGATGTCAACTGGCTTCGGGATCCAGATCGATGACTGTAAAAATCAAATGCTGCCAGGTTGGCTTTTTCATCGTGTTATCAGTGCTTTCAGGACTAAGAAAAATCCCCTTAATTAATCGGAAGGTCGAGTAATCATGCATCGTTAATGTGCCGGCCAGTGGATGCCTTCTAAACTGGTCGCTAGATCTGAGACAGGGGCAGCAAATCTCTCCCAGCCCTAACCCCATCCCGATCGGTGCCTTCACTCAAACCTCAGGTAAGGGATAAAAGTTCTTCATCAACCTCCTATGCGACTGATCCATCGTGTGAAAACGCTCCGCAAACTCAAACAACTTCCCAGCAATACACGCCTCGTGGAGATCCAGCGGACTAGCATCACACAGTAGTCTCTTGTAAATTTCCATCAAGGTGCATGTTTCCGTGAATGTCTCACAATTCACGAATCCGTAGTCCACGCTGATCACAGGAATGGGCGGGAACTCGGCCGGGTTGTTAATAGCCAGGAATTGCTTCAGCGACCAGACAGACAGATGCGGCCCACCGGGTGGACTTGAGAAGAACTGTTCCAGAAAGGGGAACTTAAGCCGCTCGCGTCCAAGGCCCTTCGAGTCCATTAGCTGGATCATTGTTCCCGATTCATAGGCTTTCCAGAACTCTGTGAATGTGGCTGTTTGTACATCTTTCCTTCGCGGCCTGCGGGTTGGGACATCGTCGTAGAGTTTGTCGCCGACGAGTAGTCTTTGGTACATGCCCCCAAGAGTCCTTTCATGGTATTCGTCGTCAGACGTGCAAAAGCCGAAATTGAACCAGTGGGTTTGTATGGGGTTGGGGTTGGCCATGTGTAGAGTTAGGGCTAGCATGTAGAAACAGTCCCGCTTGGATTCTGGTTCGAGTTTCTCGTGGTGCTTGTCCCGGTCTTCTTTGTCTAGGTAAGAGCGTGCTTGGTCGAAAAATGTGGCTACAGTTCTCTGCGTTGCCTCTTCTTCTGTGATCGGCTTGTCTAGGCATTGGGTATGCTCTAGAAACCAGGGAAAGTATCCCCCTCGGTATCGCTCAGAAATCTGGTTAAAATGTTTTTTGATGTTGGCGACAAGGGAGCCTTCAACCTGCCACTTGTGGATATCCTCAACCGGGATTTCGGCTAGCCACAAGCCTTTATAAAGCCCCAAGAGCTTACTCTTGTCTGCAAAAGAGTTGAAGTAATTGAACCCGAAGTCTGAGCAGACTTCTTCTTCTTCAGGCAGCCGGTCTTTTTCGATGTTCCTGTACAGGAAATCCGCAGATGTTAAGGGGCGTTTCGTGCATGTGAAGAGATGCCGCCCGGATCGCTTGTCTTCGCACAATGGGCTGCAGTAGAAGTCCTTCTGGCATAGACTGCATCTTCGTGACGTATCTCCAGAGCAGGTATAGCATTCACCGAGATACTCTGCATAATCAGGTGGAGCACCAGCAGTGTTTGGCTGAGCATCCACGCGTGAACGCTGATAGTTTAATGCTTGTTCTTTCCACATTGACCTGCAATCATGTTACTTTCTGATTTTCCTCCAAGCATATCATTATTTGGCTTCTTACCGTTTGAAAAACTCAGTCACTCGTTCCTGCTCAGCTCGCATCCTCATCCGCTCTATCTCAGCCTTCCTTCGCGCACTGCCAGGGTCATCGTGCTGGTGAAAATACTACTTCCACCAACGACAGACGTCTTTTCTTGGCTAACCCCTTTCTTAATCTCAGCCTTCAACTCCTTCCTCAGACGTCTTTGTAGTTGGATAAGTGCATGTGATATTTTCTTCGGGCTCCCAGGTGCCATCCCCGACACCTCAGGAACAGACCACGGCTTAAACAACCGGCCATGACAGCCCCTAGTTCTGATCTTGCTATGCGCCTGCAGGAAATTCCAACACATGAAACAGCTGTACTTGCTACACCCAAAATATGGAACCAGACGATCGAACGTTTGTCCAACCTTACTAAGATAAAGGACCATTTGGACCTCGGCGTGCACGTTCAGCTTTTGTTTCTGTAAATCCCCGAAACTGGCTTTTGCTTTGGGGACGGTCCATTTCTGGCCTATTACCTTTTTGACCGTCGATGGGTCTAAGGGTACGTCGAGAAGATTGAATGCCTGGCCTAGGTTGAGGGGACTCTGTAGGGCCTTTTGCGTGGCGATATCGCGAGATATGGGGATTATAGTTACTTTCTTGAAGCTGGGGAGGTTGAGCGCGATATCTTTGAATGTTTTGAAGGCGACGCGTAGTCGGCCGAGGAAGCAGATGCTTTCCCATAGTTTCTTTGTTCGTGGTGTGCTGTGCCGCGAGGTATAGAGGCGTTCTCGGACGGGCTTCATCATCCGTAGCTCGTAGGCCTCGACGACGAGGACGCTATGTCTGCCTGTCACGGATTGGCCGGGGATACTCCCGTCGAAGATCAAGCGGTGGAATGCTTGCAGGCGCTGATGAACTGGGGTAAATTCATCATCCTTATCGTCACGAAAGAACTGTTCACAATCCTTCAAGCTCGACCTCAAGCTCGGGATATACGTACTCTCAAGTCGAGCACGGTAGTACGTCAACATCTCGCTCCACAGTTCCTCAGCATGTCGACTTCCTACACCACATCAGCAACCTTACCCATCACCATATCCAGCAAATAGACAACTCGACACTCACCCGGATCCACAGAACCCAACCCCGCAAGCAAACCACCCAATCTCCCAAAAACAGCATAATCAACGTCCCGAAACCCTTCATTCCGACTGATCCACACCGTCACCTCATCCTCGCCCTCTGTCATCCCAGAGCACGCCACAAACCTCGCCCCCTTGTCGTTCGCAGCTAGCTCTGCTAGACAATCCAGAAACTTTCGTTTTAGCCTGCTATGCCCCGAGTCTGAGATCTGCTGGACTTGGTTTGTGTTGACGCTGTTTGCATCGCCTGCGGTGTCGGGGTTGGTTTCTTCTTCTTCTTCTTCTTCTTCTTCTTCTCTTGCTTCCTCATCTTCGAAATCATGCAGCGACCAGGCTGGTTCAACCTGTCCCCCATTTCGGAGCGCGAGTAGATTCGCGAAGGAGATGAAGTGGTGCTGGTTTAGATTTGGGGAGGAGGCCCAGTTAAAGTGCTCGACCATAGTGGTGGATGTCTGTGGTGATGGTGGTGGTGATGGTGGAGTGGGGAGGGAAATGTCAGGAGAGGTGCATCCCCTGCAATTAGAAGAGATGTGACGTGGCGCTTATTGTACTACATTCATATGGGAAGGTAGGTACTAGTAGTGTGTTGGTAGCCTTGTGTACATATGTACATAGATGCAAAATATCATGTCTCGAACACAGCCACAGCATAGGCGCCACGACGAAAAAAAATAATAAAAATAAAAATAAAAATAACGCCGATCTCTTTCCCCACATCGTGACTCATGGCGCAGCTGTTAGTTAACTATGTGGAACTCTAGGTACGTATTTGCCATCGCGCACTCTAAAAATAATTGTTTGCCGAGGGGATTTAGTATACTGCGTAGATGTAGCTTCTGGTAGGTGGTTCTGAGTTCAGGAACACTAGGAAGCGGCCATGGCGGCTATCATATATTGACCCCTGACGGCGCTGCGAAACACGAACCTATCTTGTTGGGGCAGTCATGCCTTTGAGAATGTATGGATCTCAGCAATAATAACTCCGATTATTCTTTTTAAGCTCATGACGTTGCGAAGAAACTAAGCCATCTTGCTGGTTTGGTTAGCTTCACGGGACTTTTATAGCATCGCTTGATAGTAGTCTAAAGATTCTGTTATATAGTACAGACTCGAGTACGATTAGGAATGAAATTCAATGTATGGTGAAGACTGTGTTTCCCAGGTCATATATAGACCTCTAGTAGTTACAAGAATGCAAATACTCTTCTTACAACCACTTACAACAATAAGTACCAGGATCTATACAAATTTTCTCTATATATAGACTTCTGTTAGAGCCAGAGGCAAGGGCCATTACAATGCCACCATCCACCGATTCACGAATGATCAACTTATCAATAACGCCTTCTACCCCGCCGTCTACTCAAATAGGAATGACATGACAAAGACTCCAAAGTCATCCAGAACGACCGCTTGGCACCTTGGACATTTGGCCATCGGCCTCTCCCGACGCTCGAGCCGGCGATAGGAGACGCTGGAATCCGACGGACGCTTCCAGTCGCACACCTCCGATACTATGAGTATCTCGTAATTGCATCGCACCACCGAAGATCACGTATGATTTTGGGCAGCCTTGTTGCTATCACGTTCTGTGGCTGTGGGTGATGTACCCAGATCTATAGTTTGCGTCGCATAGAACCGAGTTGTCGTTCCCCCACCGTGATATCTAATCGGTGTTCAGTAGGACAGATAATACATACATCGAGAATGAGTAAACCCTGTCTTGTAGTCGTAGTTTATTCTTGTCATCAAGTGTTTCATAAAAGCAATGTACTCCAAACAATGCAGTGACCCAATGCGTGGTATCAATCGCGCGTACATCATATCCGCCAAGATAATCTATTAGAAAAGCACATTCAAACCAACTCTCAAAAATCATCCTCATCCTCATCATCGTCGTCATCCAGATCCAAATCCAGGGTAGCCTTCGGCTTCGGTTTCGGCGCAGCAGCCGACACTCCACCACTACCACTGCCACTACTGGCCGCCGCCGCAGACCCAGCTTTCGCAGCCGCCTTCGCAGCCTCGCCCACGCGACTCTGCTCATCACTCACGTTGGCAACCGGCGGCGCATCTGCAGCTCCAAATCCCTCTGCCTCGCGAATCAACCGCTCGACCTCCTGATCAGGGTCAAACCCGGGCCGTCCCTCACCGGCAGCCAACTGAATCTGCCCCATCAGCCCCAACCGAATGCGGTCCTCCATCGGATAAGGCAACATATACACCTGGCGCGTCATATTAGCCGACTCATCCAGCCAAGACGTCGCATCCTTCGTAACGCTCGACACCGGCGCGGCTTCCCCGTCCTCCAACCCGTTCGTCCCCGTCCCCGTCATCTCCGTATCATGATCCCCCTGCTGGACGCGCGCTCTCGCCCCGGCCTCCGCATCCGCAGCCGCCTGGTGATTATACTTGCTGATACGGCGTGCGAAGTCAAGCAAGAGCTTGTAGTCCACTTCGTTGATATGTCGTAACTTCCGCGGCTTATCGGTCGCATCTTGCATCTCAGCATCACTGTCGTAGGTGGAGCTGTCGGAGTCGAAGTCGGAGGAGCTGTCTATCTCATCGGAGTTGCAGACTGTGCGGATTTCCTTCTCATAGTTCACGACTGTTTTCACGATGCCTTTGACTTTGTCCTCGAGCGAGGCGGCTTCCGCGCGGAGGCGGAGGATCCGGGCGTAGTTGTCTTGGTGTTGGCGGAGGGTTGCGATCGCCGATGTGAGCGAATCGTCTGCATTTAGAAGGCCGACAGCTGCTGCTGGGGCGCCGGCTGCTGTGGGGGAGGTGGTGAGACTGGTGATGAGGGCATTGAGCTTGTTTTCGAGGTTGGAGAGGGAGGTCTGGAATTCGGTGTTCATCTTTTGCGTTCTTCGGTCGGTGGTTGTATGTGGATTAGAGCATCGATGGAGATTTTGGCACAGTTCGGGTGGTGGGCGCAATTAGACGGTAGGGTATGCGATTAGACCTGGGTATCGGTGAGAGAAGTGCTGCTTTAAATTGTGCGAGCGATGTTTTTGCTGAATGAGGACCGATGGACTTGTTGCCGCAAACAACGCCGGTATCGCGTCACGTGAATACTTTCCATGGCTGGCCAATCATGAGTCGGTATTCCTCTACTCTAGACAGACTTTTGTTGTATACATATGTACTTTTGCTGTTGAGTGACATATGATTACATTTGATACTCAGTTCCTTTCGCGGTCCATTGCTTCTAGAGGATTGATATCAAGGGGAATATCTATAGGGTAGAGAGACAGAAACAACCGTCATCAGCTACGAAGTCGTCCAGCTGTAAAATAACATGGTAACTATGGGTATTTCTAGATGCTGTTCGGGTGGCAGCTTTTTTGGCCAGTCAATTTTCTTTGCTTTCCTTCCTCCTTGAATGGGGTTGTGGGGTTGTTGCCAGCAGGGCTCCAGAGGTATAAATATTGACAATAGCCAAATGCGCGTTCGAAGCTCGTTTTAAATATACAAGGACCGCAGTTCCACAGTAGAAATACCGTTCACATTTACGTGTAGTATTGCCCCCATTAGAAAAAGGTTTAACCGAACTGTAGAAGAGAAAAGGAAGGAAACCCCAAAAATCAATGCGTCTGAGCTGACCATGGCAACACCGCGATACGCATCCCTTTCCTCACGAAGATCACAATAGACACAAATATTTCACTGGTTCGTAAACAAGCAACCAAGGAAGGTTCCAGCAATTCTCTTATGATCTTTTTCGGCCCCCATCACAATTAGGTCTGTCGCAAGTCGCATAAGCTGCGCCTTGGGCGCCTCTGCTTCACGGATATAAAGCATCGCCCAGCAAAAATAAATCCCCGTCTGAAGAACAATGCGATAAGCAAGCTCTTCAGTCAAGGGACTATATTTGCTGAGAAACGCTCGCAGCATCGTCATGGCGGTGTCTATTTTGTGAAAGTGGAAGGATATGTACAAGTGGCAGACCATAGAACAGATATCCTCAGAGCGGTCCCCGTACCGACACAATTCCCAGTCTACGATATGAAGGCAGGGACCCTTGATGAGGACACTTCTCCCAATATTTTCGTCAGCGGTCGGCAACAGCCAAGGAAACAAAGCAGCTTACTTTCTGACGGAGAAATCTCCGTGAAGGACAATGTCCTCTGGTGTGCAGCCGATGTCGATATGCTTCCTCGCATAGGACCTGGCCGGCTCTGGTAGGCACAAAGCATCCAAAGCTTTATGCCTGGCTATTTCCAAGTCTTTAGTTACATAGTCACCATTGCGCCTGATGGTCTCCGATAGTACTGCGTTGATACGGCTCTGGCACGTAGAATGGAAGTATGAGATCCAGACGCCAAGACTCTCCCCCAGAGCTTTGGCAGCTGCCGTGGTCATGTTCGCCGCAACTGGAGAAAGCAGTAAATCTTGAAGCGGTTGGCTATTTGTGATATCCTCCATAACCTGCATATTGCTCTTCGAGAAGTACTGGTATAGGCAGGGGGACCGCACAGAGATATGAGTTTCTGGATCAACGACAAATGGCCGGCCTCCCATATGTTGTAGCATGGCCTGTTCTGTGACCTATTAACTATATGTCAGCAAGCATGCAAGTAATTTCATCGTTTGTGCCAAGCGTAGGAGATCAGGCTTACGCATCTTGTTGTTGAGAACTTCAGCCCGGGGATCAGGGCGCTCTCCTCCTCGCCGGTCTTCATGATAATCGTTGTAGCTCCATCGGAAAGCGGCCGCAGAAGATGGCCCTTGTATGTAATATTCATCAACCCTCCGCTCAGCCTTTCAATCGAGGAACATGCGTATGGTGTGAGACTGAGATTTCGGAGGGCAGCGGCCTCCTGGTCTTCTGTACGCTTTGTGGCATCTGTGACTGTCATCGCGTAAACTGTTATTTTGAGACGTAATGGTAGTTGTAACGTTTCCAACCAAATCAACTTGATTTTAACACCGATGACTTTTACAGCCTTATAAAGAGATGAAAGTCTTTTCCTTGATCACAGGACTGGAGTCACAATAATCTTTCTCTGGTCGTTTTCACTCGTTCTGAGAGCTGCAGTTGGTATGAGGTTCACCGAGCGGCCAGAATGGAAGCATGTCTCGGAAATCAATATCTACTACTAAAAGGTTCTTATATCAACGCTGTAGTGGAATCGAAAAACTCCCCACTTGGCCTGTATGCGAGTTCCAGTGATGACTGCAAGGGCTGAAGATAGGTCACAGGTCTAATTCGTGTTGAATGGAAACATATCGGTCTACGCTGGTTGACACACCTTTGCTTGACAGGTCATATTCTTTGAATTTCAAGGCTTTACTACATTGCAGGCCAGGCAGTTCAGTAGGCCTCGAAATGGTGCGGTTCTATTGCGGTTCGAAGTTCGAACCTCATTGAACCACGATTGTATAAGCTTCGCCAAGGTTTTCCCTTTTCAGATGAATTTATAGATAATGATTTGTCCTCGTCGTTTACTACCTCCTATTCAATAACCCTGGTTTGGTAAACACATCTGCAAACATCTCATTCGGCAATGGATCCTTTGGAAAGTTTATCTATAGTACTCGTAAGTTGTATCTGAAAGATTTGCTAGATTCAATAGAATTTAGACTTTTGGCGATAGATTATAGTCAGATTGTTCATTAATGCGGTGTACTACATCAAACAATATATTGTCAAGCGAGTGTAGATCGCCACACCGCTAGTAGAATGTCTGATTGATCTGCTCCCTCTGGACATCGACTGTCTAGTATACACGTGACCTGAGGCAGGGGGTGTCTCGCTGGCACAATGCCCCTTACCTCAGGACGGAACGCTACACCACTTACCATTGCCTATTTCTCTATTCTACCCCAGTGGCTGGCGGTACAATCAAAGCGGCTGCTCAGAAGGTCACACGACAGCCGAGGCGTATACAAAACACACTCTATCCCTTAAATCTTATCTTGAGGTAACATTCCCTGCTGGTTTCTGTAAGAAGATGATCTTCTCTGAGAGTAAGCTTGAGCATATCTCAAAGTGTTCAACCACTTAGTGAGCACGTGCCTGGGAAAGGACCAAGGCTTGAAGCTCCTGCTAATCAGTCTCAGTCTCTGACTGGATTCAATAAAAAGAACAAGATCACTTTTACCCGATAATAGCTATGTATAGGCAGAAGAGCAGTGCTCAGAGACGTTCAGGGCGACTCCCACAGCGGCCACAAGGAGATGAAGACTTGGTGTATGAAAAGCCATAGAATTAACAAACTTTTATATCAAAGCTCTTTTTAATGCGATATTTTCGTAATATTACAAGCATCCAAGCCCTTATTCTAACATTTCGACCAATCTGCAAGCAAAGCACTCTGGAATACAGCCTGAATCTAGATAAAATAAGCATATCACGGGATTCCTTATGCTTGCAGTGAGCAGACCCTCCAATTCTAACCGTGGTTCTATTTCGAGGCCTATCCGAAACGTCATGCAGAAACATGGGAGGACCATCGGCACCAAAACTGCATCCTATATCACCAAGGGCGTCTGGGTGCTATTTGGCAGCAATTCACACCCCGCTGGACTTTCTCTACATATACCTGAGTCACGTGGATGAAGCGAAACGAGGTGGAAAACCAAGTGATTCCGAAGCCTGGCGGGCAAAATCCTTAATACGATTCTTGCAACCGTTTTTAATAGCACTCCAATGAGTTATGAAGACCAGCGCTCTTCTTGCGACATATAATGGTGATGTTGGAGCCGGACGAACTCGCCGAAACAATTCGACCCATCTAGACAACAAGGAAAACATCAAGTCTAAGTTCTGGAAACAGGATATCCAGGCGCGCTAAATGCTCAAAGATCTAACCAAAACAAAGGACACAAGAACGCCAAATTTGTGACAAAAGAAACAATAAATCTACAAAACCATAGCCGGGTTTCTTTTCCTGCCAGAAATCGCTAAATTAAATGAACACGGGTTCACTCGTCGTCGAAGAACTTCTTCATGAAGTTGTGAGCAAGCTCAACTCCCGCACTGGTAACCGTTAGTGGATTGGTGTCGTGCCTGTAGGACAAAGGGGAACATACAAGGTAGCGGCGTTGGCGGGAACAGCTCTGGCCAAAGCCGGGCCGAATCCAGGGAAGAAGGCCTTGAAACCACCGCTGGCGTAGACGCTGCGAATAGTTCCGCCAATTGTGGGCTTACCGGGGGCACTCTGCAAGCGCGACTTGATGGTGTCGACGGGGAAAACGGGAATCCACATGGCAATACCAGCCGCACCACCGGCAGCCAGGACAGCGGGCATGGAGAGCTGGCCGGTGGCGTTGCCGTTCGCATCCTTGGGTGTCAGGGAGCGCTTGATATATTCGTAAGCAGCAAAGTAGGCGGCTGATCCGGGGCCGTCACGGGCTAGGGTCATTGCGCTTCCCCGGAAGACACTGCGGATACCACCCTCCTTGTACAATTGCCGAACCACATCCAATCCACCGGAGTATTTGGGCTTCTGTCCCGGGGGAGGCGGGTTCTGGCCTTGGATCTGCAAGAGCACCTTCACTCGCTCAAAGGGAGCTGTGATCAGGGTCATGGGGATGGCGGAGAAGAAACCGGCAGCGGAGATCTGGCCAATGGTGTACTGAGGGGTGTTGTTCTCCACGCGCACTTCTGAGAACTTGCTAACGAGCGTCTTACCCACGTCATAACCCTAGGAGATTGTTAGAGCCCCGTTATACATTGAAAAGGTGGTCTTCTATCATACCCAGAAGCTGACAGCAACTAGTGGACAGTCAGCAATCTATCAATTGAAATGGGTCATCTGGACGAAAACTTACACATGGGAGTGACCCCCACTAGAGGAGCCGAAACACCGGCATACAGTCCCTATGACCGGTTAACGCGATGTTTAGACTTGATTGGAATTCTCAACTTACGCGAACAAGGCCCTCGCGGGCGACCGTCCTCTTCACAACATCAATTGCACCGGAGTAAACTCCCTTCTCCGCCGTCTGTAGACGGACCTTCACCAGGTCAAAGGGGTGTCCGACAACGACGGCGCACACACCACCGGCAGCACCGGCAGCCAGGGAACGAATCTGCGCAATGGTCTGGTTGACAGCCTTGGCTTCTGCGACCTTGAAGTCGTCCCGGATTGTCTCCGGGGTAGAGGACGAGGCGGAGGACATCGTGGCGGGGTGGACCGAGAGCGGGGAAAGCTGGCCGCGGGGAGAGAGAAGGCGAGTGTTAAGGTAGAGGTTGAGAGAATACCGGGGTTGCCGGGGGTTCAGTGAGAGGAGAGGTGAAATTTAAAAGAACGCGAATAAATTAAGGCAGCAAAAACAATCTCGCCCGGCAGAAGGAAATTGAACAGAGGGAAATGAACAAACAGCTCCAAACAAGTCAAAAAGCTGGAGAACGGCCGAGGCCGAGCAATAGGAGGAGACCGACGATTACCGGAATAGGATACTCCCGTGACTTGGACCTCGGCTCGGCACGGGTCAACTGGCCTTCCGACACCGAATGATCGCGAATGTCAATCCCGAGTGTTATCCAGGTACCGGTCTGTCTATGCGACGAGGTCTGTATAGTATAAGAGCGATATTTAGCGCTAAATCTAAGTCATTACATTGGCCCGTCCTCCTATATTTATATGCATTCATCCATTTCCCCCATATGGAACTTTCTATGGCATACCAGGCCACGGGGCCGGGTGAACGGGCGCCAAACTCCAATTGTTGAAGTCACCTTGCCTTGACTGCCATTACTCCGATGGGCTTTGTCAAAGCGGCCAAGCGTATGTCACGGACGACAGGAAGTTCACATTGAATCAACATACTCCTCAGGCTGACGAATTTAGGATCTCTCCTGCTATCAGCTGCACCACATTGGATTAATCTCATCCCCGTCATCTGACCTCATACCGCCAAGCAATCACATGCGGAGCGCTGCCATTGGGTGCACGTGGACGCTTTCCACAAGAATGCATCCTGAAACCTAAGGTATCTACTTAGTACTGAAGGAGACAAGCGTGTTGTTAGCATAATTCCTTAACGCGGATGGTCCCTGATCTAATCAATCTAAGGTTCAAGTATCACGAGCCTTCAAGCAATAGGTTACATTTCAGAAAAGATAAGCTACGCTTGGCATTCACGCATGAGAAATGGTTAAATATAAATTATGGATCAATTGAAATTAGTACGTCATGACACAGCTATAGCTGAGTAGTCACTAATTATCTACCGTCGTAAACGAAGAGTCCGTTACAGAAACATGTACAGTACAGGATGCATAACAAATCAGGCGAAAGGCGGGGAATCATGAACGCCATCGCTCATCCAGGGGTGCAGTTGGTCATTAATAAAGCGTTTAGAGCATGAAGAAAGCGGCGAGCGCAAGAGCACCCAGGGCGCCGCTGCCGAGGACGGTCTTGGAAGCGGCAGAGTCGGTCGAGGTGCTGGAGGGAGCAGTCTCAGTTGCGCTGCTGCCACCGTTGGAACCGCCGTTGGAGCCATCAGTGGTGCTGCTGCCGTTGGAGCCGGTCTCGGAGGAGCTGGAGCCGTCGCTGGTGGTGCTGGCAGCAGTGCTCAGGGTAGTGGAGCTAGTAGACTCGCCAGTCTTGGAGGCGTCAGTGCCAGTGGCAGTCGAGTCGCCGGTCTTGGAGGCGTCGGTGCCGGTGGCTGTCGAATCACCAGTCTTAGAAGCGTCGGT